GCCGAGATATAGCTTCTGTTCCTCGGGAACTGGACAAAGAGGGAACTGGACAACATGTTGTGTCAGTGTCTCCTAACCAAGCTATAAACTTGGGCTATGTATTAACTTTTAAACCAAACAAGCATAAAGATGGCATTGTGATGCCATTCACAAAAAGTTTTCACAAAACCTTAAGGAATTTCACCTTATGTACACTGACGAGCAAAGAAAATGACACCAAAACATAATTTATTAGAATCTGGATTCGAAAGCGAAACAACGTCCGCAAATAGTGTCAAGCCAATCTTAGAAATGCAACAGACACGGGTGCAATTAGAAATTTGCTTTGGTTGACTGAAGTCCATTTAAAATCACGTTATTCTGTAAAAGTTGAAATGTTTGTGCAGCATGATCACAGGATGTATATGGGTATATTCATCAATACATAAGGAGGTCGGAAATCAACAGTAGCATGCCATTTGTATCGGCCATTCAAAGAAAGGGCCATTGGTACGTTGCATTTGGGAGCCTTTCAGAACCCCACTAGATACGTTCACCAGCTCGTCGTCACGGCACCGACAGACAGGACAGACAGCAGGCAGATCATGCGTCACCAAACCTAAGGAAAATGGCGTATTTATTTGTGTATACACCGTTTGAGGAAGCAATTCTTGACAGTGACGTCAACACCATCCACTGCCCTAGGACATGTTGTCACCGTGGTTTTCGGGCCTATAGACCGTTCCAGTGATAACGTCGACACATCAAAATATCGAAGTCAAAGACTCAGGTGAGCGCGCACTGTGCATGGACACAGTTAAAGTGATGTGGAGCATCAAACTTCAAACTCAAGCCGCAAGTAGTCATCAGTATTATTTATGATGTTACAAAATGAGCACAAACAATTAAACAGTCCCTTTATCTACTGTACTCTTCTATGTATTGGTTAAAAATTGTCCATGAGACAGTAACAAACACATTACTGGTTTGAAGTATAGGGAAAGTGCACTACAGTTTGAAATTTGTGCAAATCCAGATAAAAATACTTTACAGAAAATTTTGGGAGCTATACTTTTGATACAAAGCCTCCTCACGTTTACACGTAAGCCAACTTCTTAAGACGTGAATATGTAAATTAATCTTACATTTCTTTGATTAATACTGAAATGTTTGTAAGTTGTGTACTGAACACAAACCATTCCTCAGTTAAGAGTTCACGTCATCATCAGCTGTCCTCACATCTATCGTGTCAACCAGCACTAGAGACGGCAGACATGGTCCCTGATCCTGGTATGTGACGTGTGTAATGTGCGTAAATCATCCCCAGCTGTAGGTCATCTAGAATGTGCTGGACGTTGTCAGTGTCAGGTGTGAACATGATGGCATCTATTCTCCGTGTGTCTGCTGTCCCTGACATCCCCCAACTCTAGGGCCCCCGACTCCCAGGCCTGATACGCATCATACAGGTCCATCTCACAGCCCGATACCAAGGTCTGGTATATCAGCATCTCAATCTCTTCAAGCTTTACACCAGAACGGAGTTGTCCGGCATACATCTGTGTAATGGTTGTCAGTTCATCCAAGAGTTGTGTATGATGGGATCTACCCATCTTAAACAGCCGAAAGAGAAGTCTTCTTCATTCTGGCAAATTACTCTACAACGGCTACCATAAACACGATAGGACCACTGGTCTAAGTTGTCACACGATACAGCATGTTGATTTTTTCTGACATTTTTCTCACATGCAACACATCGAAAGGCCAGTGTGAATAATTGTGAGTTTACAATTGTTTTTGTCTTTTTCAACACGCGAGAAACACTTGACTTGGCAATACCATGTATATATCCTAATTCGCTTAGAAATCCCCCCTTTAAATAGTATTCAAGTGCCATTCACACCTGAATATGGACAGGTAAGGCACACGAACGTTGGGTCGGCCGAAGAGATGTCCGAGCTGACCCGATCAACCAGCTGTAGGGCTGTATGCCGAAGAAAGCGATACCGGCAATCAGTTCTGTGTAGGTCAAAGTATCCAACACTTGAGTCCTATCCCTGAATATTCGCTCTCGCCTTATGTTTCTCCTGTGACTAAACCCTTTCCAAATTCATTAGAAATCTCTGCCAGTCGGTTGTATGATTCCGACCATATCATGAGCATGTGTTTATTAAAATCACTATCAAATGGTAATGATACCAGGTGAGACTAGGAAATTAGTTTCGGGAAATGTTCTGCATCGATCTTGAGATCTGAAAGATGGAATCAAAGCCACAGGCAGAGTTCCATTCCTTCTCTTCGGGCGTTGGGGTAGCCTAGTGGTAGAAGCGTTTGCTCGTCATGCCTACGACCCGGGTTCCATTCCCGACATGGGTACAATGTGTGAAGCCCATTTCTGGTGTCCCCCGACGTGATATTGCTGGAATAGTGCTAAAAGCGGCGTAAAACCATATCTACTCACTCACTCCATTCCTTCTCATTATATCCTTCAAAACACCACAGCAACGATGTATTTTTTGAAAAAGGGACATTCAGTCCACTACATCATTTTAAATTCCTATTCAGAAAAAAGTGTTCGAGATGAGAATTTTTCTGCAAAGTATGAGCAAGATTACAATAATGTTTATAATAACCGAATACCTTTAAAATATACATAAAGGTGTAATGCTGCGTTCTTCTTCTTAGTAGATTTCTAATGTCTAGGTTTTCAGTTCAGGGGACGTACTTAGAATGCCTCCGTAGAACAAATAAGTGGGATATTATCGAGAATGTTCAATTCACATTGCAAAGGTATGTTGACAATAACAACTCAGCTGCCCTTTTGCTGAATCATCGGCCCTAGACTTTTCCGAGCATACGTGTTGCCAGCGTGTCATGCATGTCCTCAGCAATGTGGTATATTTTCTCGATACGGTTACGTTTCGCTGCATTTGTGTCCCGGAAGTTCATACTCCAGACAAACAGTTATAGCATTACGTTAGGATCATGTAGTCCGAGTCAGCCCACGTACTCTACAACAACTATTACTTCTGATGTGTTTTACTTAGTGACCATGTGAACTATTACAAAGTTGTAAGGGACCCATTTGAATAGACTATGTCTGCACTTGACTGAATAAGCGATACATATTGGTTTTCAGGAAGACTTTAATTGGTACTGAGTGTTTTATACATTGATAGGGTCTATTTTTTTATCAACAACATTTTCAGAGTAACCCTATATGCATAACTTGCAGTCAATGACTACACCTTGAATTCCATCAACAAATACTCTTTCACTTTAGCTTTTGTACATAGGAAGAAGGATCCTTATTTATCACAGAATATATCATTTAGGTCGGCCAGGTCATCATCATATTCTGACGTGAGAACATCTCTGACAAATTCCCCCGACACTGTCAGCTGTATCACCTTGTTCCTGTCTACAAGCAGGATGTCGACAGTTCTGGTGGTTGTGATACCAGAAGAGCAGCAGAGTGTTCTGTCTCCGGTAGGGGCGTATCTCCACAAAACATCCCCCTCTGACGTCAGACATGTCACAGACTCAGCTTCCCAGTCAGACACGAGTATGTTGCCCTTGTTGTTGACACACATGTTCCAGGGGTAGGCAAACAGTGTCTCATCGTTGTGTTCAGTGACTGACCTCAGCACGTGTCCCGCCATATCCAGGATATCAACAATGCCGTAACCATCATAATCTAGACCACCTGCTGCTAGAGATGATGGACTCAGTACAGCAAGACTGTAGTACCCCTTGCTTGTTGTGATGGTTGAGAGCAGCACCAGGTCAGGGGTCACTTCTACTGTCACAATCTGTCTGGAGTCAGGGACAGCAACCATCACCTGGTTCTCCTTCAACTGTGTTACACCATAGGGAGAGTTATCCAGGGGAAGTCTACTGTGACCTGACTGGCTGTCTCTTGTATAAAAAGATTTCATACACATGTTCCTACAGTCATTGACCAGAACTGTATGTATACCGTCTACAAACAGGACTGTGATGTTCTGTCGATCAGGCCCCAACTTATCATCATCTGCCATCCTCCCATCTATCGTGTCAATCAGCACTGGAGACGACAGACATGTGCCCTGATCCTGGTATGTGACGTCAATCTTCCCCAGCTGTAGGTCAGCAGCCACACGAATGAATTAACATCATTTGCTGCCAAATCAAAGTTCTGAAAGACGTTCCTATTTGTTCGAACATGGGTAAAATGGTGTTCGTAAAGGACAATAAAACTGATGACGGTTCCTGAAATTTGTAATATTGTGGGACATTGAGGGAAACTGATATCAGCAAAAGTTGCTGGACAATTTTGTTTCTTTCAACTACATAAGTTATAGTCTTGTTCCAAATCAATGGTATCATTTGGCCTTCATTATTTCTTGTGCCATGGCTGTGTCGACGTCTTCGGGATGCCGGAAACATACTCAATAAATTGAAGTTGGCAGTTTGTTGGTAAGAACGACTGCCAACGTCTTTTAATTTCTCATATATATCCATATGGCATTGATATAGACAGCAGTCCAGTCTACTCATGTTCTCTGACATCCTACAAGGTTGACTGCGTTTAGACTATTATATGGGTGGTATATGTTGTCTAATATCCCTACATTCATACAAAGGATGAAATTATTTTCAGAATTGAAATGTTGGTGGACACAATTGGAAACACTTCTGTTGATACCCGATCTATGTTGGATACCTCGTGTCGATAATTTTTCTATATCGGTTTACTTAAAAACTGGTCTTCGTACATTAAGGTCAATGCCTGAATTCACGAACGTTACAGTAAGGTTGCAATACGGCCATTACTGTCCTACCATATGGGTCTTTAGTGAAGCAGATTTCCATTGGTCAGTTTGTTGTGTCACTGTCTCATGACCATGCTGTCATTTTGAGAAGCTGTATACATGCATTGAACTTATATCATTATTGGTTGGTAGTGTCGTTCAATATATACAATAATGTTCACAGGCACTAACAACTGTCACCTTATAGACACTGATGAGAAAAAGAAACCCTTATCAAAATAGAATTTATTAGCAGCTGGATTCAAACAAGAAATAATGTTCCAAATGATGTCAAACCAATCGTAGAAATGCAACATACACAGGTGCAACTGAAAATCTTGCTTGCGTTCACTGAATTCGGTGTAAAATTACTTTTACCATGTAGTGCTCGTGCAACATGATCACAATAAGCATATGGGTATAAAAACAAGCCACATTATTCGTTAATGCGCAAGGTGTTCAGGAATCACCAGTAACATACAATGATTATCGACAGGATAGAGAGAAATGGTAAATAACGTAAAGTCTGTGCTGACATATCGGCAATTGAACACACGTCTAGGACCACATTGCTGGTCAGGTTAGAACACGACCTAACCCAAGTCAAAAATAACATAAAAAATGAACAATTCTCACTACCAATGAGAATGGACTGTCAGTACAATTTAACTGGAATATGTCAATATGTCATGGCCAACAAACACACTCACGCACATTTGAACAAAGTCCAATTTTGTGCCTTAAAAAAGGTAAGCTCTTAACAATTAGGCTTTCATGAATATTTTAATGCAACACAATGTGTTTACAGTTAATACTGAACAAATAATAAGTTAAAATCCAGAAGTGAACTCTACTAACATCTCCACAGGAAACGCGAATGCCATTATACATTTTTGTTAATATATGAAGACTTATTCATATTCAAGAGATATTACATTGGCTCGACGCAAAAACGAACATACTGTTATGTTGCGTGAACCGACGCTCATGAACGCATGAAATGTGACGTCATAGATCCATGACTCGAGATGTACCATTTGTCTCGTTTAGGGTTAGCGGTAATCACATGCAGCATATAGTGATTAGAATAAAGACACGCGGTAGAAACACTCGACTGATTGTTAGTTTTGTCATTGAGTGGTACACATTGGAAATATCTCTTCTATACGTACATACTTCTCTATATGTTCGCGTTTCTTTTGGCGGTGAGTATATACAAGACAACAAAATAGAGGAACAACATTAACACTTGCATTATGTGTTTCACAATAAATATTAAATATAAATTGTCAATGCAAGAGAATAACCAGTCTAGATTATCCGCCGAAACAGATTCATTTGGCGTACAGGACAAAACAGCTGTAGCGAGTTGTGCTACGGAAATTAACATTTACTTCATTTCCTCTTGAGTCCGACTTGCTATCAGGAAGCGACTCCTCCCTTGTTTGACCTACGTTGGTTGAACCGACGCAACGGAGATACATCAGGAAAGGCATGTCAAATAATATTGAAAAATACCCAATAAAATTGCCTTGGCTAGACGCCAGGTCAAAAGGAACTTACGAATACTGAAGTGAAATTATAATGATGTTTCACCAAGGCACTGCTGGACTGAAATTATCCGACTGTTCCATGTGTCTTCATTTGAAAATGATACATACCCTTCATGACATGAATCTACACGAACCGTGCCCAGTATTTCGCTGTGATGCAGGTCCGTTGAAATATATATTTCCCAATTTGTAGAATTTAGATATTAACTTTTTACAATGATGAAAAAGCACTTCCTGGTTCCACATAACATATGTTTCTGTTAGTCTCGGAGCAAGTAACACATATCAGGAAGCGGTTGTGCATTTCAGGAAAGTTAACGACATAAGTTTACGTACAATAGCTTCAGGAATTTTCTTCCGTCTCTCCCTCATTAGTGTAAAAGAATATCTTACGGAAATGGCAGAAATCAATGCGTCCTTATAAAAGTACTTGTCATTTTTCATAAACAGAGCAAGAGATAGAAACACAATTTGAACAAATTCACACTTTATGTATTCCCCATTCAACCAACTGTAAGTTTGAAAGTCAAAAAGTATATTCGTCACTACTTTAAATATGCTTCCAATCTGGATTGTTAGTATCTCAGGTCGCTATACAAGATTTGCGATCTTGTCCAAGAGATTGCTCTTGGTGATACATACATCTATATTGATATTAATATCATTCATTTTAATGTTCATCTATATCGGGAGCGGTTTGTCAGTGGGAAACAATAAAAGCTAAAAAATAGATATTCTACCTTTGGTTCACACTACAACATGATTGTCTGTTCTATAGCATAAGTGAAAAATAGGTTCACAAAATGAAACCTTGATCTTAAAAGTTTGAACTGTAAATATTGTTTCAGGAAATATTATAGTATAATACCAGAAATATTTTTCAAAAGGGCCAGTGCGAAGGACAACGGTTTCTGTGTCAACGATGAGAACTATAGGCCGACTTAGTCTGGTGCTTGGTAGATTTCTAGTTAAGGTGTCCCAGGTGACCCCAAGTATCTCTACAACTATTACTATTGATGGGTTTCACGGTGTGATCACGTGGATTACTATGTCGCTGCTGGAAGTGACACACTTGAATGTCGTATGTCTGTCATTGCATGAATAAGCAATACCCATAGGTTTTAGTGACTTTATTTGATACACAGTATTCTAAAAAACTGATTAGATCTACTTTCTCCACAACCACTTCCAGAGTTACCCCATGTATATCATGTCACGTGCAATCATTTAAAACACAGATCTGGACAGAACCCTGATTTTCAATAAAGCTTGTTTGTTTTTTCTTTCACACTAACATATACGCTTCCACTTCTGTGTTTGTACACAGAAAGAAGAATCCGTATTTATCACAGAATATATCCCACATGTCGTTATCATCATATTCTGACGTGAGAACATCTCTTACAAATTCCCCCGACTCTGTCAGCTGTATCACCTTGTTGCGGTCTACAAGCAGGATGTCGCCAGTTTTGGTGGTTTTGATACCAGAAGACCTGCGGAGTGCTCTGTCACCGATAGGGGCGTATCTCCACACAACACCCCCCTCTGACGTCAGACATGTCACAGACTTCTTTCCAAAGTCAGACACGAGTATGTTGCCCTTGTTGTTGATAAACATGTATAAGGGGCAGGCAAACAGTGTCTCGTTGTTGTGTGTAGTGACTGACCTCAGCACGTGTCCCGCCATGTCCAGGATATCAACAATGCCGTAACTATCACAATCTTGACCACCTGCTGCTAGAGATGATGGACTCAGTACAGCAAGACTGTAATATTCCTTGCTTGTTGTGATGGTAGAGAGCAGCACCAGGCCAGGGGTCACTTCTACTGTTATAATATGACTGGAGTAAGGGACAGCAACCATCACCTGGTTCTCCTTCAACTGTGTTACACCATGGGGATGGTCATCCAGGGGAAGTCTACTTTGACATAGTTGATTGTTTCTTGTGTACAAAGATTTCACACACTTGTTAACCCAGTCAGTGACTACAACTGTCTGTATACCATCTACAACCAGGACTGTGACGCCACGTAGATCAGGCTCCACTTTATCACCCGCCATCTTCCCATTCATCACGCCAACTAGCACTGGAGACGGCAGACATGTGCCCTCATCCTGGTATGTGACGTCAATCTTCCCCAGCTGTAGGTCATCTAGGATGTGCTGGACGTTGTCAGTGTCAGGTGTAAACCTGACGTCATCTATTCTCCGTGTGTCTGCTGTGTCTGTGTCCCTGACATCCCCCAACCCTACAGCCCCCGACTCCCAGGCCTGATACGCGTCATACAGGTCCATCTCACAGTCCGACACCAAGGCCTGGTCAATGAACTCACAATGTTGTCTGTGCATCTGAATCTCAATCTCGTCAAGCTTCACACCAGTGCGGAGTTGGCCGGCGTACGTCTGTGTTATGTGATTCAGTTCATCCATGAGTTGTGTTTCTTTCTGTTTAATCTTGTTTATAGCTGTTTGACAGATTGATTTAATATTGTTTACAGTTGTCTCTGTGATTCTTGAACTATTTTGCAGTTTCTCGTTTTTCATCTCTACCTTCTTCGACCTCACCTTCAGTCTCTTCCCCATGCCAAATCTCTTCTCCAGCAGTACTGTCTTCATCTCTGGCTTCATAGACTCAATGGTGACGACAGTTTTACAAGCTCTGTGGTAGATGATACAACATGTCTGACAAGCAGCCTTCTGACAGTCTTTACAGTGGAACTCGACATTGTTACCCTTGTGCTCTGTACACTTGACCCTCCGTCTGCCCTTTGACCTAGATGACAGGTCACACAGGACATGGTTCTGTAAAATAGGGCTCACCCGGTGTGTCTTCACACATCTGTCACAGAGGGCCACTTCACACTCAGGACACCACAGGGCACCTGGAGTTGTCTCCCCTATTTGCTGACAGATCGTGCAGTATGTGTTTGACGTCTCTGTGAAGAGAAGTACAAACGTATTGTTTCTAAAAAAAAACAATATGGGAATGCTAAGCATGTAAACAGTCTTTATTTTAAGTTCAATAACCTATCCAACTTGATGAACTATTTCAAGTTTCAATTTCTCATGAATAAATACTATATCATAAACACAGGTGATTAAATCAACTTAAATATTACAACTGGTTGTACTTTCTCTTGTTCACTTGGCTAACCTTCCACCAAATAATTCATCAAACTGGATTGACATTACTTCTGATTAATACGTTTTAAGATCTTTTTGTCATAAATTTATCTTTCGATGAACATGATTAACTGATCCATATGAATGTTACTTCTGGTTGAACTTAACCTGGTACATCACCCTCAGCCCCGAGGGTGTCAATCAGCCCCTGTATAATGATGCTGGGTTTGATCTGCCCCGCCCACTCCTCCACTGGCCGGCTGGGGTTAGGGACCTTGGTATCTTGTCGACAGAAGGCACAGGGGATCGTCTTTGACAGTACAGCATCTGGTCTGGTCAGGATGTACTTGGTGACACATTTCCTGCAGAATGTGTGATCACACCTCAGTGTACACGGGTCTGTGTACAGTTCCTGGCAGATCACACAGGTGAGGAATTCCATCACTTTCTCATTCTGGGATGTCGCCATCTGAAAAACCAGAATTGAAGGTCACATAAATCATTTTTCAATTTTTCAAAATATATTTTTTCTGGTGAAGTTCGTCTGTCTCTGTTATGGGACAATTTGTATTTTGGTTGGCACATCTTGAAAATGTCACTTCGGACTTACCTTCCACACCAAGCTGACAACTGAAATACATGTACTGTTCGAAGTGGCACATATCCAAATTCCTTCACGTGTTGAGTGCGTCATTAAATATGTTGAGACATCTGTTATTGACAGTCGAATGTGTAGTTTGTCTCAATGTTGTTCACCATCAACATCACATGTCAACTACATCATAGTGATCTGTAGTATGTCAAGATTCGACCACTCAAACCATCAGCAGCTACTGTCGTAAGAGGGTTTATTCTTCATATAAAATCAACTGCATTATTTCATAAAAGTTGAAAACATCCGTTTACTGTTTGGCACATCACATATAATTCCTTGTTCCAAAAGTGACAGTGAGTATGTCGAGTGTTCACCAGGCAACCCCACAGCTGCTGGTATGACAAACGTTGAGTCCAGAGGTCAGGGTACGATCACACATTGTAAGAAACTGTTCAAATTGAGTCGCAGTGATGACAAGCGTTGGTTACTTGAGATATATATTCAGCCTCAAGTGGGATAGTCTCTCAGTAAATCAGACTTTAATATTCTTTTCAAATCAACTTGAAGATATAAATATGTGTTCCTAAATTGTCTATATTGGCCGTTCCATAGTGCTATAGAAATACATATATATTGATATAACGCAAAACAAGGCTTTTCCGAAACGTGGGTCTAGATCTCTATATATGTTTATCCTTGTATTTGAACTAAACCTTTCCCTCATTATAGTTAAACTCATTATCGTAATGACTTACTGACTCTGCTAAAAGAACAAGCTTGTTGTTTCCGCACAATACAGGATTTACCTGCAGAGATGAACTAAAACTGAATATATTAATTATAGTGATATTGTGAGGTCAGGCTTAATCGCGGGTGTGACATTATCGATCTTATTTGAAATACGCACGTGTTTCCTATTAAAGTTTTAAAAACTACCAACGGTCAGTATAAATAAATAAATTTTGTTAACACCAAGCTTTCCCTTACAGTAAATAGACACACCGCCCCACCCTTTTCACAATACAGGGAGGTAACTGAACGTTAGTATTCGAGACTAAGTCAGATATCTATCTTTAGTGTGTCAGTTTTACCAGAGACCATATAATCTATTATATGGTTTCTGAAATAACCAAATCCCGCCAAGATACACAACTGTGCACGGAGGTAACTACAAAAGAAATGTTTGGGCCGAGACATGAAACTGCCCTCCCTCTTACTGTGTTGCGAAACGACTATATGTCGTAAACGTTTCTTTACTTATAAGCAGCAGAATCTCTGTACTTGCACCCAACCAGCATAATTCAAAGTTAACATTGTTATTATTACTTTCACCCAAATCACTATCGTGTCACTGGATTTTCTGGTTCACCGATCACTTGATTATCAGAATTGTTTACAGGCCACCGCCGCATGGCAGTAGAACCTCTGTGCGGAGTCAGGCAATATATACTTACTTTTTAATGCAAGTCGGCGGATAATCTAGACAGGTTATTCGACTTGGACTGTACAGCATCTGGTCTGGTTGGATGTACAGAAAGTTGTGTGGCAGGTCAGTTTGCACGGGTATGTGTACGTCTCGATGCAGATGGAGCACGGCAGGAAACTATCTTTCACTCTAGCCGGGCGGTAGCCATTTGCAAGAATGACGTCATGTATGTTTTGACAACAGCAGCTACTATACAAAGATATTTGTTACACCCTAGTTGGGCGACCAGCTTCTGTCAATGAGGCATACTGTGTCACGGTTCAATACACACAAGATCACTTGTAAATGGAAACTGCGTCGCCTTGTAAACACAATATAGCCGTAAGCATGGTTGTCCACTCACTTTTGTGAATTTCCATTATAAAGGTGGTGTTGGTTCAATCATTGCAATGCATGGACCTATAGTCGTACCAAATTGAATTTTAATAGATCCAAGAACGTCTTAGCCATAGAATCAGTTGTTCCCACAACACAATTACAACTGTTCTATGACCAATCAAACCACGTATCCCTCCTCACCGACGTCCTGTAACAGAGAATGAGTACAAACACAGCAGGACTACATCGACTTGTGATAAAAGGTGTCATAAATACGTCATTTAATAGCACAACTTCGATTGCATAGAATACTGGCCTCGATAGTTTAACAAAATATGAAGGAGCTTTATATATTTCATTTGAGTCATAGTTCTGCTCAGTCGATCTTCACGCCTGAAGTCACTCAGTATGTCTAAAGGAAATGACATGTGGTCATGTATAGACCTATTAGTGTTTATGTGGAGTTAAGACAATATGTTGAAGTATATAGGATACATTCAGTTAACAAATGCAAACCAAACTTGATAAGAATTTCAAAATAGACCTAGCCAATTTTTTTTATATAGAACGCCTACACATGTCTCCTCACTGCCTTAGATGCACACACGTCAACAGAACGCCTACACATGTCTCCCTACTGCCTTAGATGCACACACCTCAACAGAACGCCTATACATGTCTCCTCACTGCCTTAGATGCACACACCTCAACAGAACGCCTACACGTCTCCTCACTGCCTTAGATGCACATACCTCAACAGAACGCCTACACATGTCTCCTCATTGCCTTAGATGCACATACCTCAACAGAACGCCTACACATGTCTCCTCACTGCCTTAGATGCACACACCTCAACAGAACGCCTACACATGTCTCCTCACTGCCGTAGATGCACACACCTCAACAGAACGCCTACACACGTCTCCTCACTGCCTTAGATGCACACACCTCAACAGAACGCCTACACATGTCTCCTCACTGCTGTAGATGCACACACCTCAACAGAACGCTTTCACACGTCTCCTCACTGCCTTAGATGCACACACGTCAACAGAACGCCTACACACGTCTCCTCACTGCCTTAGATGCACACACGTAAACAGAACGCCTACACATGTCTCCTCACTGCCTTAGATGCACACACGTCAACAGAACGCCTACACACGTCTCCTCACTGCCTCAGATGCACACACGTCAACAGAACGCCTACACATGTCTCCTCACTTCCTTAGATGCACACACGTCAACAGAACGCCTACACATGTCTCCTCACTGCCTTAGATGCACACACGTCAACAGAACGCCTACACATGTCTCCTCACTTCCTTAGATGCACACACGTCAACAGAACGCCTACACATGTCTCCTCACTGCCTTAGATGCACACACCTCAACAGAACGCCTTCAAATGTCTCCTCACTGCCTTAGATGCACACACCTCAACAGAACGCCTACACATGTTTCCCCACTGCCTTAGATGCACACCCGTCAACAGAACGCATTCACGTCTCCTAACTGCCTTAGATGCACACAGGTCAACAGAACGCCTACACACGTCTCCTCACTGCCTTAGATGCACACACCTCAACAGAACGCCTACAGGTCTCCTCACTGCCTTAGATACACACACGTCAACAGAACGCCTAGACATGTCTCCTTACTGCCTTAGATGCACACACGTCAACAGAACGCCAACACATGTCTCCTCACTGCCTTAGATGCACACACCTCAACAGAACGCCTACACACGTCTCCTCACTGCCGTAGATGCACACACGTCGACAGAACGCCTACACATGTCTCCACATTGCCGTAGATGCACACACCTCAACAGAACGCCTACACATGTCTCCTCACAGCCTTAGATGCACACACGTCAACAGAACGCCAACACGTCTCCTAACTGCCTTAGATGCACACACGTCAACAGAACTCCTACACACGTCTCCTCACTGCCTTAGATGCACACACCTCAACAGAACGCCTACACATGTCTCCTCACTGCCGTAGATGCACACACGTCAACAGAACGCCTACACACGTCTCCTCACTGCCTTAGATGCACACACCTCAACAGAACGCCTACACATGTCTCCTCACTTCCTTAAATGCACACACGTCAACAGAACGCCTACACGTCTCTTCACTGCCGTAGATGCACACACCTCAACAGAACGCCTACACATGTCTCCTCACTGCCTTAGATGCACACACCTCAACAGAACGCCTACACATGTCTCCTCACTGCCTTAGATGCACACACGTCAACAGAACGTCTACACATGTCTCCTCACTTCCTTAGATGCACACACGTCAACAGAACGCCTACACATGTCTCTTCACTGTCGTAGATGCACACACCTCAACAGAACGCCTACACATGTCTCCCCACTGCCTTAGATGCACACCCGTCAACAGAACGCCTTCACGTCTCCTAACTGCCTTAGATGCACACACGTCAACAGAACGCCTTCACACGTCTCCTCACTGCCTTAGATGCACACACCTCAACAGAACGCCTACACGTCTCCTCACTGCCTTAGATGCACACACGTCGACAGAACGCCTACACATGTCTCCACATTGCCGTAGATGCACACACCTCAACAGAACGCCTACACGTCTCCTCACTGCCTTAGAAACACACACGTCAACAGAATGCCTTCACATGTCTCCACATTGCCGTAGATGCACACACCTCAACAGAACGCCTACACATGTCTCCTCACTGCCTTAGATGCACACACCTCAACAGAACGCCTAGACATGTCTCCTTACTGCCTTAGATGCACACACGTCAACAGAACGCCAACACGTCTCCTCACTGCCTTAGATGCACACACGTCGACAGAACGCCTACACATGTCTCCTCACTGCCTAAGATGCACACACCTCAACAGAACGCCTACACATGTCTCCTCACTGCCTTAGATGCACGCCCTTATGTGCTTCATTGTATACACGCCTTGAACTGCCTCCGTGGTCTAGTGGATAGAGCATCTGCTTGGAGAGCGAAAGGTCGGGAGTTCGAACCCCTTCCGTCTCATACAAAAAGGACTGGCTGCCTCGGGGTTAATTTAATATGTCTTTATGGGGTGGTATCCATGTTAAACGACGTGACATTAAGAGGATAAATCAAGGACTGGCTGGCTCGGAGTGATTATAATATGGTGGTGTCCATGTTAAACTGAGGCATGGTATCTCAGTGGGCTAGCACTATAAAACCGACGTAAAACCCGATTTCACCTCACCGCCCCATACACACAATGGAACAAGATCACTTATGAGTTATCTCAATAATAATTCCAATGATAATGTTCATCTTTGGATTGCTAGATTATATTGATAAAATCTTCCCGAATACCCTTCTGCACTCACACCTGACACTATATGACTTTCAGTGGAGAAGGACAATATTTTTGAAGCAGTACTCAGTGCTGTCACTAAACCAATGTCATGCTTGTGTGTATCACCATTCACGTCACTGTTGTGCGATTACTGTTCGGTGTGGCAAAGGTTAAAAGGTTTACAAAATCTACCATTCTGTTACATGGTGTGTATGACGGCGCCTGTAACCATTCATTCCGTTGTTCCGGAAATACACGAACTATTAGTCCCACAGATAGGCATGAACGTCGTGCCACTGTCTCCATCAGAAGACAACACGCCTCATTTGATAAATGAGACTCACATACACAGTTAAGCCAGGTAAATGTTGCATAATTATACGAGGACAACAGGTAAACCTTGACGATTACTGAATATTTGATGAAAAGAGCTAAAATGGTTTTTTTTTTAGAAAATGAAACCTCTGAATGAACACTCAAAGAATATCAAATGGTTGGTAGGAATATTTGTGTCCACTTTATTTATAAAATATATCATATACATTTTCACATATATATGACGAAGTTAGGCACATACTACATATATGACAAAGCCAGGTAAATACTACACAGATAGTGAATATAGGTAGTACACAGAAGATGGTTACAGGTAAATACTACAAAGATGATGGATACAGGTAACTACTACATTGATGATAAACACAGGTAAATAACATACAGATAATGAAGCCAGGCAAACAGGTTGCGACTTGCGTGCATGGACATAGTATAAAACCAATAATTTTCAATGACGTGGTTATTACGTATAACGACCGCGCAGACCATTATGACGAATAAAAAGACATGGTTATTCAGAAACAAAGAAAAAGAAGATGCATTTAGAAGACAAATTCTTGAACCATTTGAATAATGTTAAACTAGTAATTATTTATCAGATTTTATCACCAAAATTTGTTCTCTGTCTGCCCTGAAAAAAAAGCATTGTGAAAAAATAAATTGTTCGGATTCTCCTTTCCCAGCAAAATTGCGTGCCCTGAAGAAATAACATCATGTCTCTCACAACAGTCCTCCAACACTGCAATACCATTATGGGTTGGGTCGGAATTGTAGTGTCATCTTTATTTATGCTTCATATACTACTATTTTACAGAGAGTAATTGTATATATATATTTAGTAAGCTAAACGTTGTGACATAGACCATGTACCCTGTGAGTTTCAATAGTTTTCGTTTTATACTCTGACACTAATCACTATTGTTATCGTCCACAATCCTGTTAAGGGCTTGGTTTGTTGAGCGGATACTTATCATACTACTTGGTACTGGATCTCGACAAAACCTTGCCTTTGTTAGTTGTCTTGATCTCTCTTGTAGCACGACCGAGTTAGTATGGACTACATTTGTACTCCTTCACTTCAGCATTACAACAGATGAAGAAGGATTCGCGTGCATGACAGAAAATACTCTTCAGGCCAGACACGTTACCGTCTGACGTGAGGACGTCTCTGACAAACTCTCCCGTCTCTGTCAGTTGTATGACCTTGTTGGAATTACTGTCCACCAGAAGTATGTCTCCCGTCCTGGCAGTGGAAATACCATGAGGAACACCGAGTTCTCTGTCTCCGGTAGGGACGTATCTCCACACAACATCCCCCTCTGATGTTAGACATGTCACAGACTTCTCCCCCCAGTCAGACACGAGTATGTTGCCCTTGTTGTTGACACATATGTAGTCGGGGTAGGTAAATAGTCGCATATTGTTGTATGCATTAACTGACCTCAACACGAGCCCCGACATATCCAGGATATCAACACAATAGTCTGTACTTGCTGCTAGAGATGAAGGACTCAGAACAGCGAGACTGTAGTACCCAGTACGTGTTGTAATGGTTGATAGCAACGCCAGGCCAGGGCTGACACCCACTGTGACAATTTCACATGATTCGGGGACAGCAACCAGTACCTGCTTCTCTTTCAGCTGTGTTACACCCCATGGAGATTGTTTCACACGACCCGTACTGAAACGTGGCGTCTTTCTTCTGGTGTAGAAGGATGTTATGCAGTGATTGTCCCCGTCAGTGACTACAACTGTCTGTACACCGTCTACAACCAGGACTGCGACGTCACGGATATTAAAGGACATTTTGCCACTGATCCGATAGGTATCAATGGTGTTGACCAGCATCGGTGCCTTGAGATTACCTTTACCTTTGTCATTGTGGTCAGCCGTCTCAATCTGTGGGGTCGGCTTGTCGCTTTTACTCTCTCCCCCCTTATCTCTGGTTTGCAGGTCAAAGAGGTCATGGTCACTTGACATAGGGCTCACCCAATGTATCTTCACGCATCTTTCACAGAGGTCCACTTCGCATTCAGGACACCACAAGACTCCTGCAGTTATCTCCCCTAGTTGCTGACAGATTGTGCAGCAATTGTTTGTTAACACTGCAAACATAGAATGATGTGAGTATTGTCACATGATAATTGAAATCTATTTATTCTATTTATTATATGAAATGTCTAAAGTGTTTAATACTCAGACAGAATGTAACAGCATAGACATAAACAAACCAGTAAATCAATAGTTACAACTTACATGCCATGCCTCAACGTTAATCAACCTGTAACTTAAGGGATAGACATTTCTTTTCTCGTTGATACATGTTATCGTCTAAACATAACAGCCTTCTGTAATTTTCATATGTTTTATATACCTGTTTTCACTCACTATTCATGGCATATTTTGTAAACAACTTTGGTTAGTAATATAGATTTCTCAAATCAACAAATATCCTTTAAAGTACATTTTATTTCCGTATTCTACGTTTTAATCAAACAAGACGTATCAATATAAATAATAAAATAGGTTCAACATTTAGAACGTTTTCACTTTACCTGGTTTGTTTGTCAACTTCTGTAGAATGATGCTGGGTTTGATCTGCCCCGCCCACTCCTCCACTGGCCTGCTGGGGTGGGGCACCATGGTATCTTGTCCACAGCAGGGACAGGGGATCGTCTTGGACTGAACAGCATCTGGTCTGGTTTGGATGTACTTGGTGATACATCTCTGACAGAAGGTGTGGTGGCAGGTCAGTGTACACGGGTCTGTGTACGTCTCAAAGCAGATGGAGCACGTCAGGAAATTATCCTTGATATTGTTTCCGTTCCGGGTAGCCATCTATTAAATGCATTCATAGTTTAATTAATTATACATTTCATTTTCCTCAAAACAATAATGTTATGACTGAGCTTGATTCGTATCGTTTTACAACTATTTGAATATGAATATATGTACACACGGCTGCAAACATACTTTTACCCTATACCTTTTTATCGCTTTTATGTACCGATTGATCGGTTGATAACGAATTTATCTTCTCGACATTCATGCCTACAGGTTAGCCGTATTGACAGCTGACAGACGTTACAATTAAACCGAGTTACTTCCCTTTACCCACTGCATTCGAGCAAACATAGGCTCATTTCAGAAACAACTACATGATAATTGTCATGAAACCCACGCAAATCTACGTGCATTTGCACACATCTGTATATTTTCACATACGTGTAAATGGATAAATGCAAATTCCAGTCTGCATAAATGTGTACCAACATTTATACAACCTACTTGCCAGTTCTAACTTTACAAAAGTACGGTATATTCTGTATATATTAAAAGTACGGTACACATCTGTATATTTTCACATACGTGTAAATGGATAAATCCAAATTCCAGTCTGCATAAATGTGTACCAACATTTATACAACTTACTTACCAGTTCTAACTTTACAAAAGTACGGTACATTCACCTACATGTGAAGACACAAACGACATATGTGAATGCATGCATACAAGAGGGGTATAAGTTCAACACTGCCTACAAACTGAGTCGGAATCAGGCTGAAACATGCTGCCGTATATATCCTGATAATGGACGTCGGAGCTCAGGTTCACCTTTAACATATAGTTATTTTTTAGACGTGCATGTAAATGTCCAGACTAAATGATGGCCATTGTAAAAACCACCAGGCGTGCCAAATACCTGAATTAATGCATTGCTTTTATGCCCCGAAGGATCGGTTGACAACGAGATGACAATACAACATGGTACATGGTACACAACATGTAGAATTAGTATCAGTAAATTGTTTCAATTTCTCAAATCAACGTGTGCATTCATCGGAATATGAAAGAACACCAATGGCTAACTTGCACATCGTATGACTTCTGATGGTAAATATAGTGCGAGTTCGGCCCAAACTCTACATTGCACATTGCACAGCCCCGCCTCGGAGCATAGACCTGTCGTCTATAACTCACGAGTAACCTCCCCTCCTTCTATTGAGAACACTGGTGGTACACTATCGACAGTGTCACATATAGAACGACTCATAGTAAACAAAGAACAATTGAGTGGATACGTTCACCGAAAGTAGAATTTAGGACTGCCTTTTATTTACCTTTTACCCATGTGAATGATAATACATTTTTGCTATTGTCTCTATTTTCTTAGCCTCAGTGCGATGTGATATAACACCACCGTGAGGCTATGTTTTAAAGTGATAGTGAAAGTAGGCGACTTCCTTGTTACAGCATACCATAACACTGATATCAAGGTCTGCTGATACACATATGTATCTAGAAGATGATAAATGATATTTTACAAAACCCAATTAACGCCCAGTTACAGTTACCAGTTTGACAATATCTGTGTTGACAACGACAAGATGTATCTGAAAGTCTACCTGTAAGCAGGCTGTGTGTCTGCGTGTGGACTGCCGCACTCGGCTGAACTCGCCCTTTTCCGTAACTGTTTTGTCGGCTTGCCCAAATCGTCTCCATTCGGCTGTGTCCGTAAAACTATGCATCCAGCGTCAGTATGTTTATATAACACAACGTAATGATTACATGCTGTACCGCAAAATACGTAGGGATATCGAAACTCAGAAACGACAGAAGTTGACTCGTGAAATAATACCAATGCATGTATGGTTCCTTGGTCACAACTACATGCAAACATGTGCACGTGCACCAAGTGACGGTCCTCTTTTTCATTGATTCCCGTGAGTAGTGTCTCACACAACACTCATCTCTGTACCGTCTCATCATCGTTTGGTGACCGATTAACAGAGCGACGTCTGCAACACTGGGGACATCTTTGGGCAAAAATAATACACACAGAGTTATCCCCATTGCTGCATATATTTTTGACAGAGTTATAGCCCTTACTGCTTGCTTTTCAACATTAACTCATATTCACTACATAAACACAAAAAATGTAGTAAGACGAGTTCTATGGATGAACAACTTCTTTATTACGATTCGTGCGTTTATGTTAAGTGATATCACTTGCTTGATAAAGGTGTTAGGATCTGCACCGAAACATCGCACTAATTGTAATAAAAAAGTTGTTCATCCATAGAACTCGTCTTTCTTCATCACACCAACTTCTAAATGCCACTCAAAGAAGTTAAAAAAAAATGAAATATACCCCTGGCCGGGGAGAGTAATAAGCTGTTTTCTTGTTGATATGTATCCTATGAGTTACCCCTGCATATATTTTTGACAGAGTTATAGCCCTTACTGCATGCTTTTCAACATTAACTCATATTCTCTACATAAACAAAAAAATGTAATATACCTCTGGCCGGGGAGAGTGATAACGCTGTTTTCTTGTTGATATGTATCCTATGAGATATAGGATGATATGAGATAAAAATCATGTATATTATCGCACGAGGTAAATGAAAATCTGACTAGTCTGAAGGATGGAAAGTGAGGTTATCAACTGGGTTAACCTCTGTGATAAAATTACAGATACCTTAAATCATGAATTTTAATTAACAAAATTGATTGCTTATGTAATGAGTAAATTTAAGGGTTTCTTCACTTTCGAGAAAACGTGGCTATATATGTAACATGTTTGTTCATGGCATGAACCCTCTGCTTGTGACATTTTCATAATCATCTGGAATCTGTAGCGGGTAACGGTGTGGGGTTTTATTGATGAACGAGGGGTGACTGAAGAGTTCTGAGCTTATCTGCAATACAGAACCCATGCATTCCTTCCTTACAGGCTGCGTTTGACCCAAATACTCAACCAGGAAGCATATGTTGGCAGGCAGCAAGGTGACCAGGTATTCTCTCTTGATGAAATGGAGATAATAGGAACAGCAACTCATCCATGCATCGGGACAAAGTGGCAACTTAGGGGATGATTTTGTCTCCCTTTACCCCTTTTGAGAGGTGGATAACGAATTTCAAGAGGGGAAGAAAGAGCCCCGAAGATGATCCAAGATCAGGATCGAAGACTCTCAACTTCTACCACAACGGAAAATGTTGATGAAATACATGATATGATAATGGATGATCAACTCACTACACGTCACACAGCCAATACAGTCTGAGAACATTCTGAGGAATGAACTGGCATGACAAAGGTTTCAGCACGCTGTGTCCCAGGGAGTCTGATTGGAAACGCTCCAGTTTCGTCATCTCTTGCGGGAACTTTCGTTATTTATAAGCGGATGTAGCTGATTTTCTTAAGCAATTTGTAACCATGGGTTCACCACTATCAGCCAGAGACTAGACAATAGTCAACGCAGTGGAAACATCTGACGTCTCCTCCGAAGAAGAAGGCAAAGTCAGTTCCATCAGCTGGCGAGGTGATGGTTCCAGTTTTCTCAAATTCCAAACGAATCCTACTGGTGAACTCCCTACCGACCGTTTATGGCAAATATATGCCAATATGACTTTTCAACTGCGTTAGGATATCAAGGCTAATTTTTTAACGTCGTTGATACCTCATTAAAGGTGTGTTGTTTCACCATGACAACGCACCAGTGCACAAGTCTGTTGTTGCCATGGTGTCAATGAATGACCGTGGCTTTAAAGTCCTTGAACATTCTCCATTGTTTACCATATAGGTATATGGTTTCTACTAAACTTGAAGAAAGAACTTTCTGGCAAGCAGAATGCAAATGATGAAGTCAAGGTCATTTTACACCATCCGGAGGAAGCCATCTACACCCGTGAGAACCAGATGCTCCATCAGCTTCAGAGGGAGTGGACGGTCGGGGGAAGATTGGTTGACAGTACAATTTAGTGTTGTATAGGATATGTGATAAAGTTGGTCCAGAATTTACGATTAATATTTTGACTTCATGAGTTTTACCCGTGGTGATCCAGGGTAGAATATATGTAGGTCTTCAGCAAGCCATGCTTGACAAAGGAGGTGAAAATGCTTGTGAGAAGCGACTAACGGGATCGGGTGGTCAAGCTCACTGACTTGGTTGATGCATGTCATCGTTTTCCAATTGCGTAGATCGATGCGCCTGATATCAATCACTGGGTTGTCTAGCCCAGACTCCATTATTTACATACTGCCGTCATATAGCTGGAATATTGTTGAGTGCGGCGTTAAACAACAAACAAACAAATTAACAGAACATGAAGAAATACAGCAAGGATTTCTTTCTTGGAATGGGGAATTAGGCCCATTGCATAATTAATAATTCGCATAAGAAGGATTGAAGAGTTTAATGTTTACCAAATATTAACATTCCAGATCAGAATATTTCTGCATTGTGTGGGCAAAGTTACAATGATGTTTGTCATCGGCGATTACTTTTCAAATTAACAAAACGTTCTTTGTAGATTTCTTGTCACAATCATGGTGTGTTTCCGTTCAAACGGCGGATTTCATCATGGAACAAAGAGATGGGATCTAATCTTGAGGAGAATGTTGAATCCACGCACGCACATAGCTATCGTGCGTCTTTTAGATTTCAACACATTGATGTTGATTATGATCGAATTAAAAACTACACCACAAAATTATTACTTCTACTGTTGTTTTTTACACTGGGAGCAGCGAGCATGTAAGTCCATTTTGACGTTCATGGCTATGTTTTTGTCGAAACCGTCGAAAAAATAAAACCGCCCAGTCTTACACTCATGTTTATGGCATATCTTTTGGTTTAAATTGTATGGGCAATGTTAAATAATGTTATTCCTTTGGTGACCAAATGACTGAATAGGCGGCATCCCAGGTTTTGGTGAAGACTTTTATTGATACTGAGTGTTCTATACGTTGACTGGATCTATTTTCTCGACATCATTTTCATATAAATATTTCCAGAGTAACCCCATACACATCATTTCACATGCAGTAAATGACAAACATTGAAGCCACAGCTCTAGACTAAACCTTCATCTTTCGCTTTCTATCAGACATATACTCTTTCACTTCCGTGTTTGTACAGAGAAAGAGAGATCCGTATTTATCACAAGATATATCACACATATCTTTTGATGTTAGGACATCCCTGACATACTCCCCCGACTGTCAGCTGTATCACCTTTTTGATGTCCCCGGCTACAAGCAGGATGTCTCCTGTGCTGGTAGTTGAGATACCACGAGGTTGACCGAGTGCTCTGTCTCCGGTAGGGGCGTATCTCCACACAACATGCCCCTCTGACGTCAGACATATCACAGACTGCTTCCCCCAGTCAGACACGAGTATGTTGCCCTTGTTGTTGACACACATGTAGGTGGGGTAGCTAAACAGTGTCTTGTTTTGTGTTGTCATTGACCTCAGCACGTGTCCCGCCATGTCCAAGATATCAACATAGGCCATACCACCTGCTGCTAGAGATGAAGGACTCAGAACAGCGAGACTGTAGTACACCTTGCTTGTTGTGATGGTAGAGAGCAGCACCAGGTCAGGGGTCACTTCTACTGTTACAATCTCACTGAATTCAGGGACAGCAACCATCACCTGGTTCTCCTTCAACTGTGTTATTCCCAATGGAGAGTAGACCAGGGGAAGTCTACTTTGACATGGATGATTGTTTCTTGTGTAGAACGATTTCACACACGTGTTATTGAAGTCAGTGACAACACATGTCTATATACCATTGACAACCAGGACTGTGACGTCACAAAGGTAAGGCTTATCTTCATCATCCGCCATCCTCCCGTCTATCGTGTCAACCAGCACTGGAGACGGCAGACGTGTGCCCTGATCCTGGTATGTGACGTCAATCTTCCCCAGCTGTAGGTCATCTAGGATGTGCTGGACGTTGTCAGTGTCAGGTGTAAACCTGATGTCATCTATTTTCCCTGTGTCTGCTGTGTCTGTTTCCCTGACATCCCCCTTCTCTACAGCCCCCGACTCCCAGGCCTGATACGCGTCATACAGGTCCATCTCACAGTCCGATACCAAGGCCTGGTCAATGAACTCACAATGTTGTCTGTACATCTGCATCTCAATCTCTTCATGTTTCACACCGGAGCGGAGTTGGCCGGCGTACGTCTGTGTAATGTGATTCAGTTCATCCAAGAGTTGTGTTTCTTTCTCTTTAATCTTGTTTATAGCTGTTTGACAGATTGATTTAATATTTTGCACAGTTAACTCCGTGCTTCTTGAACTATTTTGTAGTTTCTCGTTTTTCATCTCTACCTTCTTCGACCTCACCTTCAGTCTCTTCCCCATGCCAAATCTCTTCTCCAGCAGTACTGTCTTCATCTCTGGCTTCATAGACTCAATGGTGACGAGAGTTTTACAAGCTCTGTGGTAGATGATACAACATGTCTGACAAGCAGCCTTCTGACAGTCTTTACAGTGGAACTCTACATTGTTACTCTTGTGTTCTGTACACTTAATCGTCCGTCTGCCCTTTGACTTAGATGACAGGTCACAGAGGTCATGGTTCTGTAAGATAGGGCTCACCCGGTGTGTCTTCACACATCTGTCACAGAGGGCCACCTCACACTCAGGACACCACAAGGCACCTGGAGTTGTCTCCCCTATTTGCTGACAGATCGTACAACAGGTGCTTGACTTCTCTGTAAACACAAATACGAACATATTTTTTTCTGAAACCTCACAAAATGGAAACGCTAAGTAAGCAGTCTTTATTTTATTTCAGGGAAATAAGCCCGATCAAAATTGATGAATTTTTTTCAATTTAAACAGCGATTAATCAAACTGAATAATACAACTGGTTGTACTTCTTATAAACGTGTTATCACTTAACTTTGTTCATCTTCAACAAAAAGAAATCATCAAACTGGATTGACACTCGTTAATTATGTTTAATGTTTCGTGTACAAATTGTTACATATTTGTTCAATATTATTTCATAAGTGTATCTAATTCTTAAACACAATAGACGTATCAATACGAATGCCACTACTGGTTGAACATATAAATTTTGTTTTCACTTAACCTGGCGCATCTTCCTCGGTCCTGAGGGTGTCAATCAGCCCCTGTATAATGATGCTGGGTTTGATCTGCCCCGCCCACTCCTCCACTGGTCTGCTGGGATGGGGGACCTTGGTATCTTGTCGACAGAAGGCACAGGGGATCGTCTTGGACTGAACAGCATCTGGCCTGGTTTGGATGTACTTGGTGATACATCTCTGACAGAAGGTGTGGTGGCAGGTCAGTGTACACGGGTCTGTGTACGTCTTGAAGCAGATGGAGCACGTCAGGAAATTTTCCTTCACTTTCTTCTCCAACTGAGCAGTAGCCATCTGTTAAATTCGCATATTATACCGTTATAGTTTTATGTATATATATTTAGTGTACTAATACAAAAGACAACGACATAACTGATCTTGTCTCATGGAAATGTAAAGGTTTATATCCATTTGAGTGTTAGCATATATACAGATGTACATGTATGCACCGGAGCACACGTTGCCAAGTGGTTATACGTGCCACTTTCGCTGTGAGTTGCGTCTCTTAGGCGTGATCGTGTGTTGAATCCCAGTTCGCCCTGAATGTTTCTATGCGCGTTTGCATGATACTCGTGCACGTGGATTTTACCAAAGTGGCATCATAAGGCCTGCATCATTTCGTCTTTTCTTCCCATACCAAGCTGCCACGCACTGGTTTAAATGTGTGACCAATTGAGGCAAGGCACTCAAATAGCCACATAAAGGAAAATGTACATTTACGCAACGGCTTTACAACATATCTACACCTGCAAGTATATGCACTCCAGTTTGCATATATGTGGTCATATGCACACAGTGCTTCAGTCAATCTAATTAAAATCAGATATAAGTTCTCGCTGCTGCTAAACAAAGATCTGAGGACATCCCATAGTCAGAACGACCTTTCGCGAACTTTGACCGACCACTGAAACGACTAACAAGAAGTCGACATCAGCCAATTAGAAAGCAGCTTTCTCGAGCTTTGCGGCACTATTTTCAGACTACGCTTGAAAAATATGTTGACACATTTCTCTATTGATATTTTGAAAACTGAACAGACGAACATTCCCGAATGTCTAATATATGGTTGCGATTGTATGGCAGTGCTTCCCACGTACTGTGCAACGCCTCTTCTGTTCAAATGTTTATCCCAAGGAAGCGAGATAGACGATTATTTTGACGGAATCAGTCGTACGGGTCGTAACTGTCGTTCGGAATACCCCGTGGTAACGTTTTCGAGGTTGCATGATTAGAAAACACATCACTTTCTTGATATGGTAAGCGACACTTTGATTGGTCCTATGAAAGTTCGTTCTGACGTGACCCGTAATGGGATGTCCTCAGATCTTTGTTTAGCGATAGCGAGAACTAAGATCTGATTTTAACGAGATTGTGCGTCAGTGGGCTTCAGTGCTGCAATCTCACTCTTACCGCAATGATTGCCTGTGTTTCTAGCATGAGTTAATTACTGCCCTTCCTTCCAAATACTTGAACCTATCGAGGACATATCTGCACCGCCCAACTCGGCGCCTATATATACGTGTTATCTATTCACGCAAGAGTAACCTCGACCCCCTTTCACAATCAACACTGGCAGAGCACACTATCGTCTCGGCACGTAGTCACCAGCAGTTAGGTATAGGATCTATAGTTATCGAGGAACAATTGAGTGGATACGTTCACCGAAATTACAACTGGGGATTGCCTTTTATTTATATTATGTTACCGGCCAATGTCAGTATATTTGAGTAATTGTAAAATTCAGGTAGCTTCTCAACTCTCTGCCAACATAGAGTGGAATGATGTGATAACCTCTTGTTACAACAGGCATCGATTTCAAGGCGTTTTGTCACTCAGATATCTCCAGCAGATTATGTTTTATAGAAACAGTGAATGCTCAGTAACAGTTTGACATGATCTGTTTTTCAGAAAACGACAAGAGGTGACCTCATATCGGCCTTTCTGCTGGCTTTGCGTCCATGTGTGGATTGCCGCCCTCAGCTAAACTCGTCCTTTTCCGTAACCGATCACTCGGCTAGTAAATCGCAAAAACTCGCCCCTGCCCGTAACCACAAAGAAGACTCGGCCATGAATGTAAGCCGAGCGGGTAAAACTACAATAACAGGCCTGCGCCTGAACACACGCGCGAATACAATGTTTTCGCGTTTATAGTTCATCCGTTTAATTTTCGTCTAATCACATATTTACGAAGTTACTTTTTTAGAAGCTTCTCTCCTAAATATATTTAAAATATACAACGGCATTTTGAAAAAATATAGTTCCAACACTGTAATTGTATACAAAACCTGCACTTGTCTGGAGTGATCACAGCGAGAATTGACTACAAACCGGCAAAGACTTTGTTCGTTCAAACACTGTTGAAATGACCCGAGTCGACCTTGGCAGATGGACATTTCTCCTCTTGGCCTCTCATTGGTATCATCATCTTTGGCAGCTAAATGTTATTGGAAATTAAAATCTGTCAGGTGGTCTGATTTTCTTAATTATGCCAGAATAAAATAGTACCTGGTCTCACAAATAAAAATGACATTGATGTTTGTAAGGACAACATTACATTTTTGCAGGGAAATGTATTTGGAAAGCTCCTGCTTTTGTAAAGGAAGTGATGGGCCAGTGTTAGACAAAGAAGGCCCATTTGTCTTGCGACGATACTAGGCCCAAATCTAATGTATGGTTAACCCAAAGAGCATTTTTGGATTGTGTCCAAATGTGGCAAAATAGTTGTTTGTAAGCTTCTATTTATTTTAATGGTTTATAAAATTCGTTATGATCATCTGCTCTTTTATTGATGGTGAATTCACCTCTCCAGTAAGTAGTTGTCTTCCGTCAACTTTATATACTCGTTGAGTTGACGTTATATCATTGATAATACATTCAGAATAAAGTTTAAGAAAACTCTTTTTGTTGAAGATTGCATTTTCTTTTCTAAATACATCTGTGGTTGCACGAGTGCAAGCATACAAAATGTATTCCTCTTCACATACGGGTCCAGGATTGCTCGATTATATCAGGACCTAACTGAAAACGTAATTAAAGTTCCTAAATAATAGTTTTGAATACTGTAATTTTCACTTTGTTTGTTACAGTACATGTCCCCTATTACTGATCTACACCGGGTACAACGGTTACGGGAGACACTTTCTTGACTTCGACCTTGCCGCAATATCGATGTCATTCACTTTATTTCCTAGCCTTTAAATTATAATGGAGTATTATACATTTTTAGTTTCAAACATTATATATTTCATATTACTCTATGAAAACAACAATGGTTTAATTGAACTTGCCTTATAAAAGGGTACAGGTTTACTCGCATTTGCACGCGAAGATGGAAACAAATATATATACTCAAACTTGCGACTTCCATTCCAGACTAAGCTTTTTAAAGTATTCTGAATAAGTCAGACAGTCCGTAACATTTGTTTTGTGTTGAGCTTTAGAGGTTTCATGATTAGAAAACATATTCCGCTAACAATGTAATATAACAATATGAATATTTCATTTTTATTCTTTTATTACGTGTTTGTATCGTTATCTATCGTGTAGATTTTCGATCACGAACGTTGATATTACTTAATTTCGTTTATCCGACATAATCATATGCAACCAACCATGTCGGGTTAACGGGACTTGACTGTATTACAGTAAAATAATGTCATGTGGAATAAAGGCAATAAACATCACTGTACGCACATAGAGACATTCGTGTAGATTGTCGTACCTACCTTCAGCGTTGACTACAGTTGAAAACATCGCCGTGTCATGCCTGTTTGTCTGAATGTTCTGCTCTCTAGTTGGTGGGCGTAAACATTGCTATCACGGGAAAATCAGACACCCAAAGTCCAAGTCGAATGTCATAACGAAAGTACAACACGTTACTTCCTTCTACAGCAGTAATGGCTTATGTTCAATGATAAAAAGCAATATCCCAGTTCAAAAACGTGTTGTCTAAAGCTATGTGAATACTGGTAAATCTACGTTTTTACTGACTGGGTCAATGCATTGATAACAGCGATCGGCATTGCTAGCCCATTTCCGTGATCAGTCATTCGGTATGTGCAGGAAAAATTTGGATGCGGATGATGGATTTTAAATGATCAAAAGTGATGACAGTAATACGCATTAATAGTTGCGCCAATATATATGCCCCAAAAGAGATAAGAATTAACGGTTCAGTCTGTCGTCTACAGTCTCATGTGCCTTATGCAACTATCCATAAAAGACAGAATCCATTCTTTGTCGATGATAAATGTCTCTCTTCAGCGACGCTAGAAATATGTGACCATTTGCTTGAGGTACAGTAGAATTTAGTTTGGTAATGTGTGTGCGCCTTTCAGGTGTAAATACTTTGTTTATTGTCTTGACAAACTTCTACTTGAAATGAAAGGAGGTCTTTTTAAAGCAAGTGTCATATAAAACATGAAGGTTCATCTTGGTATGTAGATAAAGTATCCAATTGGTATATTTTTCGATTGACTGCAGACTGTTTAGTAACACGAAAGTCTGGTCAGCCAATCCAGTTACCTCGTCTCTGTAATAACATGGAATGTTAAAAATTGATAATTGTTTAATTTGAAGTTTACACGATATACAGCTTTTCCATTGGATGAGAGGTCGGTCACATGACCGCGAAATTGTCGTTCATAAGTGTATGAACGACGCAATTTGACGTTCATACGTTTTTCACGAGACCTTGTGCTAGAAATGACGTCAAGATTAACGGACTACTTCCACATTCCTGGTGCGGGGAATTCCCTGGTACGAATAAATACAGAAGCGTTCTTTCTTTACATTTAGACCCTTTAATCTTGATCTCAGCATTTCAGTGTACATTGAGAAATGTCGGAGGGTTTGACTGCATGATCGTTTAAGAATATCCTCGCTACGATCGAACCTATAGTGAACAAAACGAAGAAATGCACATCCAAACTATCGTAGTATCGACTCGATTCGTGTCTAGGATGATAGTGAGTCTACCACAATCTTTCAATTCACCTTACTGTCTAATTAACACATCTTTAATCACCTTTCAATGATCGACCAGCTGAACAATGATGACTCAAACATGTAACCGCCACAGGTTCATTAACAACTTCCGAAATCTCTCCCGTCACGTTTATCGTGTCGGCCATTTTGACGTCTTGTACTTGATGTAAATGTATTACGAGGCGCTGTCATTGTTATTGACTTACTGAGGTATTTCTTAACAGACATTTCTCATCTAATGAAGATATACATTTGTTGTAAAGAAACTACAAATGTTGTTTCTGTAGAGCATGTTGGACATAAGGAAATTGTCATCACAGATGTGAGTATGCCATGTTTCCGAACAGGTCGTTCCTGTGTGTAAGCAGTTCGCGCACCCACTGCTTTACTTCGCGGAAATAGATCTAAAAAGCATGAAAAAAGCATGCATGTGTGCCACGTGTCGACAAACATGTCATTGTAATTCAGTTTGGCATTAGGATTAGGATAGGCAACATCGTTAGACAGAGTAGTCATTTAGTGATCGGGATAATAATAAAAATTTGGAAAAGAAAAGAAACTTTGTAAATGTAAATTGAAGTACAACAGTAATTCTTGTCTGTAATAAAACCATCGTAAATAAATTAGTGTCTTTGCCTGTCTATTGCACTTCTTCTATTTCTGCTGAACAAAAATGGTAGCAGAGCGTGGTTAATTCGTTGTTACTCATGGTTACTGCCTGTTAGTGGATCATGGTGTTATTGGTGCAAGTTAGATTAGTTTGGATGCAGGAATAGTTCCAGTGCGAGACAGGTGAGTTAGTTGTTAGAAACAAATGTGTTTATAAGACTTAGGAATAGTGTAAGGAAGAAAATGGCTGAACCTCAAAAAGCAACCTCAGACACTGTGCTTGTGTTAAAATCTGAAACTTTAATGTCGGACTTTGGTAAAAGTAATGAGTCAAAGCCAGCTGTGGAAGAGGTTTTGTTAAAACTCAAAAAACAAAAAGCCAGTGCAAAGACTGCATTTACGAAGGCGAAAAATAAACTCTACAATATGACAGAAGGTAAGGATGTCCCAACTCGAAGGTCTGTTCGAGATCAGATGGATCAGTTGTGCATTGTCCAAGCAATGGAAGTAATGCTGATGTTGTCTGAAGAATACTCCAAAAACAATGATGTAGCAAATTCTAAAAAACTTAGCATTGAAATAACTAGACTTGAAGATGAGACTGAAAGTGCACAGCAACATGCTCAACAGTACTTAAACTGTAGATCAGATGCTAGCTCTGTACTAAGTTTACGAACAGGGATGTCAATGTTGTTCAACCAGAAACAAGAACACGGTAAAAGTCAGAAACAAGAATGTCCCGGAGAAAAAGGGAAGGACGTTGAACAGGCTCAGAATGAGTCCATAAAGACTTTTGTAAGAAGTGAACATGAATTAGGTCAACCAAAGGACATGTTCACGGTTGGTAGGTCACATGTTGAACCCAGTTCTCTTTCGAATAAACCAGACAAAAGCGCGATTGGACATGACATGTGGAAGCAGCTGCAGAGAGTTTCTATGTCAGTGTTTGCAGGTGATGTCAGGTCTTATCAGAGCTGGAAGGCAGCATTCATTGCATGTATTGATAACTCACCAGCAACACCAGAATACAAGCTATTGCAATTGCGGCAGTATTTAGCAGGTGAAGCTCTTAGAGTGATTAGGGATTTGGGGCATAATGCAGTTGCTTATCAAGTAGCTCTTGAGAGATTAGAGAGGAAGTTTGGTGGCATGAGGCGCCAGATTGCTTTACATCTTGAAGAGTTAGACAATTTCAAACCCATTCGCCCAGGTCATGCAAAAGATTTAGATAGATTTGCTGACATGCTGGATGCTGCTGTAGTTAACCTCCGTGAATCTGACAGAGTAGAAGAATTAGGAAATGGTCTTCTTTATATGAAGTTGCTAAAAAAGATGACTGAAGCCATGGTTACAGAGTATCAACGTTGGGTATTTGATAGACAAAGACAAGAGTCAGTTGAAACTCTGAGAGAATGGGTGCTCCAAGAAGCAGAATTTCAAACAATTGCAGCTGAAACCATTCATGGTGTCTGTGATAAGTCATTAAAATCTGAACATAAAAGAACTCCTCGTACATTCCTTGGGCATGACAGTAACCAGAAACCTGGTGGGCATTATGCTGGAGTAAAGAGTTTGTGCATAGTATGCAAAGAGCCACATGATGTTTGGAATTGTAGAAAGTTCACAGCTTTAAAAGTGCAGGACAGATGGAACAAAGCAAAGGAGTTAAATCTTTGCTTTCGTTGCTTAGGAAGCAACCATCGTGGTAAACACTGTTGGCGAACAAGATTATGTGGCATGAATGGATGCAGAAGCAACCATAACAGGCTGCTACATGTGGATAGGGATAGGGTTGATTCAACTGCTGATGTTGAAAAAGCTTCAGTTCCATTAAACAAAATAGAACATACAGACAATAGTTCAAAAGAACAAGCAGAACGATCACATGCAACTAACATGGCATCGAACGTTGCTTCAAAATCTTCATTCATTGGGCTTAGAACAGTGCCAGTAATCCTCAAACATGGGAATCGCAGAGTTACTGTTAATGCTTTGCTAGATGACGCCAGCACAAGGTCCTATATTAATGCAGACGTTGCTGCAGAGCTAGGACTGCAAGGTAAAACTAAACAAGTCACTGTGAATGTGTTGAATGATGAGAAAGCCACATTTGAAACAATGCCAGTAGAATTTGGACTGGAAAGTAAAGGTGGTGAGGTTGATGTTAATATTTCTGCTTTCACAACAACTAAGGTTACAGGTGATTTGCAGGTTGTTGACTGGCAGAAATATGGCAAACTATGGACACATCTGCAAGATATAGACTTTCCTAAAATTGCATCCCCTCCTATTGTCGATGTCCTGATAGGCATGGATAATTCAGAACTTCACTATTCCTACTCAGAGGTACGTGGGAATCCAGGTGAACCTCTTGCACGGTTAACGCCCCTTGGCTGGACTTGTATAGGGAACATTGCAGGGACAGGCTCTGATAATCAGACTCACTTTTCTAGTACATTCTTCTCTCATTCAAATGCTGATGATCAAGATTTGAATATGTTGTTGCATAGGTTTTGGGAAGTTGAGAAATTCCAGTCTAAAGAGACTGAAAACATAAGCCCTGAAGACAAGAATGTATACAACAGGGTGAAAGATGCCTTGACGTATGAGGATGGTCACTATCAAATAGGCATACCATGGAAGAAAGAGGTACATGCCTTACCATCAGATAACTATCAGATGGCTCTAAGTCGTCTTGAGAGTACAGAGAAGAAATTAGAAAAGGATGAGACTATAGCTGCTGCATATGATACTGTCATTTCACAGTATCACACAAACGGATATATCAGGAAAGTACCTACTGAAGAAATGACAAATACAGGAAAGTGGTATTTGCCTCATTTCCCGGTTGTACGTTTGGATCGTCTCACAACAAAAGTGAGAATTGTATTTGATGCCTCAGCCAAATACAAGGGTATTTCTTTGAATGAAGTTATCCACCAAGGTCCCAAACTGCAGAGGGAACTTTTTGATGTATTGTTACGATTTAGACGCAACCCAGTAGCACTTATGAGTGATATTGCCGAGATGTACCTACAGGTCAAAATCTCTCCCGATGATCGGCCCTATCACAGATTCTTATGGAGGTCCATGAAACGAGATGAGCAACCCACAGAGTATGAGTTTAGTCGAGTGGTATTTGGGGTGAATGCATCTCCTTTCTTAGCACAGTTTGTAAGTCAGGAAAATGCCAAGAAGCATCAGGGTGATCTCCCATTAGCAGCAGAAACTGTGCAAAAAGCAACATATATGGACGATAGCATGGACTCTGTGGAGGATGACAATACAGCTATTGAGTTGTATAGACAGTTGGTAGATCTTTGGAGTAGAGCTGGGATGCGCCCTAGAAAGTGGCTTTCAAATTCCCACCAAGTACTCAATCAGATACCTGTTGAAGACAGATTGTCAGAAGTTCAGTTGAACAGTAGCTACTTACCTTCAGCAAAGACGCTCGGTCTCATGTGGATAGCTGAAAGAGATGTCTTTACTTTCACTTCCCACATACCTGAAATGAACTCCACGATATCTAAAAGAATCTTTCTTCGTCAAATAGCAAAGCTATTTGATCCTTTAGGATTTCTTGCACCCTTTACTGTGAGGGCAAAGATCATTTTGCAAGAAATGTGGACAGCAGGGTTAGATTGGGATGAAGAACTAGACAATAATCTGAAAAGGAAAGCATGTCAGTGGTTCATGGAACTGGAAGATCTTGCACTTATCCAGGTACCAAGATGTTTGCGCTGTGGTCACGAGGTCAAAGAAACTACACTCCACAGCTTTGTAGATGCATCTGAGGATGCATATGGTGCTGTAGTGTATGCTGTGAATACTTACCAGAATGATGAAATCTCCAGTGTCATAATTGCTGCAAAAGGACGAGTAGCACCACTGAAACCCATTAGCATTCCACGCATGGAATTTATGGCAGCTGTTACTGGACTCAGATTATCTGTTGCAATAACAAAGGCATTGGAAGTGTCAATAGATATCGTAACATTTTGGACAGACAGTTCAAATGTGTTGTCATGGATAAAGAACCATAGCCGAACATTCAAACCCTTTGTTGCAAACAGAGTCAGTGAAATTCAAGAGATTACGAATCCATATCAATGGCGGTATGTACCAACTGCTAAAAATCCAGCAGATATGTTGACCAGAGGAATAGCTGCATCAAAGTTGATTGATAATCAAAGTTGGTGGTCAGGACCCCCTTTCTTGACTAGAGATGAAGGTGAATGGCCCCAAAGACTATCTGAAATAGAAAGTAAAAAGACATGTAAGCTAGAAAATGAAACTCTGAAAGAAAACAAGATCATTACAATGGTAGTGAACAAATCATCGTGTGATGAATGGAGACTAAAAGCTACAAGATACTCAGATTGGAAAAGACTGGCAAGAATCCAAGCTTGGGTATACAGATTCTTGAACAACTGTGTTGCACAAAATCATCAAAGGATCTCCGGGGAACTAACAGCAGAAGAAATTGAAACTGCACAGTTCAAAATCATAGCACAAGTGCAGAGAGAAGAATTTCCAGCTGAATACTCCTGCCTTGATAAGAGAAAACCATTGCCAACCAACAGTAAACTCTTGGGATTACAACCGAAGTTGGATGAATGTGGAGTGATGAGATCTGATGGACGATTGGCTTATGCTGAGCATCTATCTCCAGAGTCAAGGTTTCCAATCATCTTGCCACGCAGAAACTGGATCACAACATTGATTGTGAAATCTTATCATGAGGAAGGACAGCATGTTACCGGAACTAATCAGACATTAGCGGCACTCTCAGCGAAGTTTTGGATCCTCTCTGGTAGAGAGGAAATTCGAGAATGGGAGCGGGTATGTTCACAATGTCGAAAACAGAAAGCAAAAGTGGCGCACCAGATCATGGCTCCTCTCCCAGAAATGAGACTAACACCTTCTCTACGTGCTTTCACACAGGCTTGACTTGACTTTGCTGGACCCTTCTTTACAGTACAGGGGAGAGGAAAAGCAAAGCAGAAGCGCTATCTTTGCCTCTTCACGTGTCTAGCTTCAAGAGCTGTGCATCTTGAAATCGCACATGGAATGGACACAAATTCATTTCTTAATGCCTTTTATCGCATGGCCAGTCGCAGAGGACTTCCAGAGGACATTGTGTGTGATAATGGGACAAACTTTGTTGGAGCAAAAAAGGAGCTCAAAGAACTGGTCTCATGTCTGGACAATGATGCTGTTAAACGAACATTAGCGAATCGTGGTACCAAGTGGAAGTTTAATCCTCCCTGTGCGCCCCATTTCGGAGGTGTGTTCGAGACCATGATCAAGGCAGCCAAGAAAGCTATCTCTGCTATATTAGGTCAAAGTGACGTAAATGATGAAGAGCTCATGACAGCGTTTATTGGAGCAGAAGCCTTGATCAATTCACGTCCACTCACCTATCAGACGTCACATCCTCAGGATGATGTACCCCTGACACCGAACCACTTCCTCCATGGACAGGTTGGAGGTTCTTTTGCTCCAGAATCAGTGGATACAACACCCTTTAACCCAAGGAAACGCTGGAGACGGATACAGGATCTAATACGACACTTCTGGAGCCGATGGATGAAGGAGTGGATACCCAGCCTCAACCGAAGAAGGAAGTGGCTCACTCACCAACCGGACATCAACGTGAATGACATCGTTATGGTAATATCGCCAAACACTCCACGTGGACATTGTCCCATGGGAAAAGTTATCAAGACTCATCCAGGGAAAGATGGTTACACCAGAGTGGTTGACATACAGATTGGTCAATCTGTACTTACTAGACCAGTGACGAAAGTGTGCCCTCTTGAAACGGACAGCATTAGCTGCTAAAGTACCAGATGTCACTGAACAAGACAATACAGGATTCTATGGATTCTATTGTGACATTCGAAAGATGAAAATGTGTGAAATTGATGGATTTAACATGAGAAACTATCCAATGTGAGATATTCAATTTTGTGACACAACCTTGACCAAAAGAGTGTGTAATCTGCACATATTGTGGTGGTGTACTGTGAACTCAAAATGTGAATACTGTTTCATAAAAATGGATATATTGTGACATTGGATGTATTCAGTGCATTATTTGTTGAACTTTTCGATACGTTTGTGGATGTGATCGAGGATATTATTTCGATTCTGGAAAGTTGGTTACTATTTTGTGTTGATAGACTCCGTTCTATCAAGGAGGGGAAATATGGACATAAGGAAATTGTCATCACAGATGTGAGTATGCCATGTTTCCGAACAGGTCGTTCCTGTGTGTAAGCAGTTCGCGCACACACTGCTTTACTTCGCGGAAATAGATCTAAAAAGCATGAAAAAAGCATGCATGTGTGCCACGTGTCGACAAACATGTCATTGTAATTCAGTTTGGCATTAGGATTAGGATAGGCAACATCGTTAGACAGAGTAGTCATTTAGTGATCGGGATAATAATAGAAATTTGGAAAAGAAAAGAAACTTTGTAAATGTAAATTGAAGTACAACAGTAATTCTTGTCTGTAATAAAACCATCGTAAATAAATTAGTGCCTTTGCCTGTCTATTGCACTTCTTCTATTTCTGCTGAACACATGTGGAGCATACATATGTTCATGTCACCTCTCATTTTGAGGAACCATTTTTTTGCCGCGATACAGCTGGTTGTTGTATGGCTATCAATGTAAACATGAAGTCATACAAAATGTTGCGTATAGATCTAGATCCTTTTAGGTACAAAATAGTGACACAAAAAATTATAAGAATTGACTTTCACTTTTGTGAGTTCATTGCAGGATGAACCTTCATATAGAGTGAGGGACAACATTGTATGAAGCTTAAAAGCTTAGACGTTCATACAGTTTGGCCTTCACTCTATATGGTGGTTCATACTCCAATGAACTCAACCAAAGTGAAAGTCAGTTCTTAAATGTTTCCACGCCTGGCATGAAAAATATCGACAACATCATGTTTCAACAATCACTGCCGGTATCAAATATTTCAAATTGGCACATAAACAACATACATTGTTTTAAAGAAGCATTACCCCGACGGTTGACGCGAAATACACCTGTCTCTTCTATAACAGTTCGATAGCTTTGATGTAGCACTTTGGACTTGTGACTGGTACATCACGTGCTTTAACGTGTGGCGATATACTGTTCCCTGTTGTGATATGTTTTCGTCAGAGTATTATCATGTACCATTCACTTGTTCATGCCACTACTGTCTCTGTCACTACTGAGTCCTCCAAGGACAGATATCATTTCACGCGACACAATATCTGTGTGTGTAAACTTTAAAGCTCGCCTTCACATGTTGTAGTCAATGCCTGAAATCAGTCAATTTATAGTCATGCTACTCTGGACGATAGTCGGTTTCATAGTGATGGCCGAATGAGATACCATGCCACAGTGTTAACATGTATCACCGTCGAGGTGGAATGGGGTTCAGAGGCGCCGAATATTGAATGACTCTGACGTCTAATGGACTATGATCATTGCAATTTTTTTCATGAAGAGTGGCTTTTATCTCAACTATATTGTGTTTACAGTCACTTCTAACTGACAATATACCCCCATGTCCTTCTTGTCCTCGTATGTTCTGTAATTTCATTGAAAGTGCATAATGGCTCTGTATCATTGCTGACTATTTGCTTATTTCATGATAAACAAACGCTTAATCTGGAATGTCTATACGTCTCTTTTGTGGAGCCTGATATATAGTTTGGTACATTTGTGTTCCCTCTTGGTGTGTGTTTGCATGGGGCATGCATGCAGAGTTGGGTTATATTCTAACTGTCGGTAATCTCCAGGTCGGTTAAACCCCGTATTTCCTTTATAGAGTTAATAATATCAATCGCTACATTGTCTGGTGGTCTCAGTGCAGTGTTAAACAACACGTACGCACGTACATTCCAGTTTGGTGCGTAAGATCTAAAAATTGTGTGCCTGTCATGATTTATGTGTGAAAGATTCCCAAACAATATTGAACACCTTATGAGTAGAGAAATGAACCGTGTCCACATTTTACGTAATATCAGTCGGAGGTATTGTCTTGGAAATGCAAACAATAATTAGAAAAGAGACACAGCAATAGACAAACATTCCTTATGTGTATACAAAGTTTTACAATAAATATTTAACAGCTCATGGGTTGTGCATGGGAATGACTAAAAATGATTCTGACTTGCCACCTTCTAAACGCAAAATATAAAACGTTTGAACAAATCCCGAATATCTAAATGCAGCATTTTATTGTTGTGTATAGGTTACCCCGAGGAAGCGACTCCAGCCTTTATTAACCTCCGACCGTTGAAACCGACCAACGACGAGAAATCGAGTAAAGACATTTAAACGATATTGAAAAAAGACTTGTTTCAAAATCAGCATGACTCAAAATGAACTGGCAATTACAGAAATGAAAGTTAAATGATTTGTTGCCAAGGTTTCAAAGAAGGCACGACTCGATTGTAAATGGGTTTTTATCAGAAAATAATAACTTAAATAGCATGAATATTCTAAACACGATTAGCGGTTATTGCGTTATTATGCAGTAATCATTTTTGAATATATTTTTCTTATTTGCAGAAATTTGTCCAGATATGTGAATTACATTTTAAAATGACGAAAACACCATTTCTTGGTTCCACAATCCACATGCGCCATGGAACATTATTGCAGCGAAATATTTTATGGAAAAGTTGGCCTCCTTAAATATATACTTTATTTTTTTTCAAAAATAGATTCTATGTAAACAAGATATTTCAAGTAAAGCAAAACATGGAAACAGACTTTGAACAATAGATAATTACCTGCAAGTCCCATACTTCATAATTACTGTAAAGGAGGATAATTCTCACCACTTGAAAGATGGTTCTTAGTCTGGACTGACAATATATCAGATTGGTATCCAAGATTTGCGATCCTGTCCAAGCGATAACTCTCGGATGATAAATACATTGGTGTTCAGGAATTGACAGAATTTAGTGAAACCATGACAGTAATAGAGTTCGACAGATTGACAATAACTGACTCATCTTTATGATGTCATAGGCAAGACTTTAGATGATAGATAGGAAGCGATGGCAATATTCTGTGACATAAGTAAAGCATTCGATCGTGTTTGGCACAAAGGTTTCTGATAGGAATTAAGCAAGTGTGGAATAAAAGGGGTTCTTTTAAAATGGTTCCAAAGTTACTTATCTGTTAGAAAGCAATAAAAGTTATTAATGGACATCAATCGAATGTTAAACCTGTACTTGCCTGTGTCCCACAAGGTTCACTGTTAGGACCCTTATTATTTTAAGTATTCACCAATGATATTGTCTGTGATGTACAATGGAATATATACTTGTTTGATTCTTCACAATGAGTTAAAGATTTCTATGAACATGCACGCAAATATTTCTCACCAATAACTGTTTACATCTGATATACCTCATGTGACATAATTTCAAGTTCATACTGCTGTATAACATATATACTACTAATCCTTGTTCGAACTTTAATGGGGAGATACTGAAGTATATATATATATAGGCTTTGCCTGTTTATCAATCACCATTCACTGTAGGAGTGGAATTAGATATTGTTAAAAACGCATTGACACACAACCTCATTCGCCGTCCATGTTATTGCGTTTCTTTTTCATCTTTAGACCACGCCATAGTATAACTGAAAACTGTTCAACGCAGCATTAAATCATATTTTAATTAATTACCAACTCACTCGTTCATCTACATGTTAGATTTACAAAACTCTAACGTTGGTTGACACGAGAACAGAGTTATATGTTGCATAGGATATGTTAAAATAGGTTCACAGATCAAAACGTTAATGTGTGGTTTCAGTCGCGTTGAGAAGCCTGTTATGTACACAAGCGGCTAAAAATGTCAGTAACATAAACAAGGGGCTGAAACCAGTTACATATACAAGGGGATTACGACTGATTCACTATTTTAATGAGTTACGAAGGCAAAAGGTGTGTAACAGCCTCGATCACAGTTTATTACAAGTTGGAGTCTGTTGATGAGGATTGCTTCTTGGAATTTTCAAATCTTTGAAGTCTTTGAGGTTGATTGTAAGGGTTTTGATTTGGTCCCACTGGATGCTGTGGATGGGGTGATATGGTCTGATAAAAGGGATTTAGAGTCAACTTTGGACACTGAGCTCTGATGTTCTTTAATTCGGGTTTTGGGGAGCCTTGACGTTTTGCCAATGTAGGCATGTCCACAATTACACGGAATGTGGTACACAGCCCCAGATGGTTCTTGTTGTTGGCTGTTTGGCGGTTTTCCTTTGGCTTTGATGGCGTCAATGTTGGCCCATTTCTTTTAGAGTCTCTGAATTGTATGGCTGGCAGTTCCAAAAGGCTGATGACAAAGGGTGCAGATTGTTGAAGGGGATTTGGGGGTTTCCTTGGTGGTGCACTGTATTGTCTGCTGCACTAGCTCGGTAGGGGTTGTACAGTGAGGAGGCAATACAAAGCTATATGCAGAGTTACTTTCCTCCTGCGTATATTCGTACAAAAAAGGACATAAATGATTTAAAATTCGCATAAAGAAATTGGATGAAGGGCTTGATACCCAATGCTTACCATGCTATTCTAGATGACAATAAGTACAGACAGACTTTCAATGACGTTTGGCATAACCGTGTGTGTGTGTGTGTGTGTGTGTGTGTGTGTATGTATGTGTGTGTGTCTGTGTCTGTGTCTGTGTGTGTGTGTGTGTGTGTGTCTGTCTGTCTGTCTGTCTGTCTGTCTGTCTGTCTGTCTGTCTGTCTGTCTGTCTGTCTGTCTGTCTGTCTGTCTGTCTGTCTGTCTGTCTGTCTGTCTGTCTGTCTGTGTGTGTGTCTGTGTGTGTGTGTGTGTGTGTGTGTGTGTGTGTGTGTGTGTGTCTGTGTCTGTGTCTGTGTCTGTGTGTGTGTCTGTGTGTGTGTGTGTCTGTGTGTGTGTCTGTGTGTGTGTGTGCCTGTGTGTGTGTGTGCCTGTGTGTGTGTGTGCCTGTGTGTGTGTGTGTGCCTGTGTGTGTGTGTGTGCCTGTGTGTGTGTGTGTGCCTGTGTGTGTGTGTGTGCCTGTGTGTGTCTGTGCCTGTGTGTGTCTGTGCCTGTGTGTGTCTGTGCCTGTGTGTGTCTGTGCCTGTGTGTGTCTGTGCCTGTCTGTGTCTGTGCCTGTGTGTGTCTGTGCCTGTCTGTGTCTGTGCCTGTCTGTGTCTGTGCCTGTCTGTGTCTGTGCCTGTCTGTGTCTGTGCCTGTCTGTGTCTGTGCCTGTGCCTGTCTGTGCCTGTGCCTGTCTGTGCCTGTGCCTGTCTGTGTCTGTGCCTGTCTGTGTCTGTGCCTGTCTGTGTCTGTGCCTGTCTGTGTCTGTGCCTGTCTGTGTCTGTGCCTGTCTGTGTCTGTGCCTGTCTGTGTCTGTGCCTGTCTGTGTCTGTGTCTGTGTGCGTGTCTGTGTGTCTGTGCGTGTCTGTGTGTGTGTGCGTGTCTGTGTGTGTGCGTGTCTGTGTGTGTCTGTGTGTGTGTGTGTGTCTGTGTGTGTGTGTGTCTCTGTGTGTGTGTGTCTGTGTGTGTGTGTCTGTGTGTGTGTCTGTGTGTGTCTGTGTGTGTGTCTGTGTGTGTGTGTGTCTGTGTGTGTCTGTGTGTGTGTGTGTCTGTGTCTGTGTGTGTGTCTGTGTCTGTGTCTGTGTGTGTGTCTGTGTGTGTGTCTGTGTGTGTGTGTGTGTGTCTGTGTGTGTGTCTGTGTGTGTGTGTGTCTGTGTGTGTCTGTGTCTGTGTGTCTGTCTGTGTGTCTGTCTGTGTGTCTGTCTGTGTGTCTGTCTGTGTGTCTGTCTGTGTCTGTCTGTGTCTGTGTGTGTCTGTCTGTGTCTGTGTGTGTCTGTGTGTGTCTGTGTCTGTGTGTGTCTGTGTCTGTCTGTGTGTGTGTGTGTGTCTGTGTGTGTCTGTGTGTGTCTGTGTGTGTGTCTGTGTGTGTGTCTGTGTGTGTGTCTGTGTGTGTGTCTGTGTGTGTGTCTGTGTGTGTCTGTGTGTGTCTGTGTGTGTCTGTGTCTGTGTCTGTGTGTGTGTTGCCAGCGTCTCCTGCATGCCTTGAGCAGTGTGCTATGTTTTTTCTTGGGACCTCTTTTTCGCTAAATTGGTGTCCAGGACGTTTATACTTCAGGTAGTATAAATCATAGCATTACGGTTAGACCAAGTTAACCTTCTGTGGCCGATGTCACCACAAGTATCTCTATAACAACTGTCACTAGTGGTGTCTTTCACCTTGTGATCACGTGGATTATTCATTGCAGGAAGTAACCTATTTGAATATCGTATGTCGGCTTGACTGAAAAGTGATACCCAAGACTGTTATTATTATGTATTCTACTCTTTTACTCGATCTATTCTCTTTACATAAATTTACTTATAACCTTTTCAGAATAACCTCATGCACAATCCATGATTGTTTTGTTTTTTCTATCATACTAACATATACTCTCTCACATCCGTTTTTGTACACAGAAAGAAGAATCCGTATTTATCGCAGAATACATCACACACGTCTTTTGACTTGAGAACATCTCCAACTAACTCCCCCGACTCTGTCAGCTGAATCATTTCATTGGTGCTCCTGTCTACAAGCAGAATGTCTCCTTTGCTGGTAGTTGTGATGCCACGAGGCAAGCTGAGCGCTCTGTCTCCGGTAGGTGCGTATTTGAACACAACATCACCTTCTGACGTTAGACATGTCACAGACTTCTTCCTCTCGTCGGACACGAATATGTTGCCCTTGCTGTTGACACACATGTAGTAGGGGAAGGTAAACAGGGTCTTGTTGCGTTTAGTGAGTGTCCTCAGCACGTGCCCCGCCATGTCCAGGATATCAACGACGCCGTATCCACCTGCTGCTAGGCAGGAAGGATTCAAAACAGCAAGACTGTAATACACCTTATTTGTTGTGAAGGACGAGAGCAGGGCCAGGTCAGGGGTCACTTTTACTGTTACAATCTGATGGGATCCAGGGACAGCCACCATCACCTGTGTCTCCTTCAACTGTGTTACACCACATGGAAGGCCACCAAGGGGAAGTTTACTTTGACATCGCTGGTTGTTTGTTGTGTAGAAAGATTTTACACACTCATTCTTCATGTCGGTAACCACAGCAGTCTGTATACCGTCTACAACCAGGACTGTGACGTCGCGTAGATCAGGCTCATTCTCATCACCCGCCATCCTCCCGTCTGTAATTCCAACTAGAACAGGCGACAGCAGACATTTCTTCTGATCCTGATATGTGACGTGAATCTTTCCCAGATGTAGGTTATCTATGATGTGCTGGACATGCTCAGCGTTTGATGTAAACCTGATGTTATCTATTCTCCAGGTGTCTGCTGTATCTGTGTACCTGACATCCCCCACCTCTACAGCCCCCAACTCCCAGGCCTGATACGCGTCATACAGGTCCATCTCACAGTCCGATACCAAGGCCTGGTCAATGAACTCAAAATGTTGTCTGTACATCTGCATCTCAATCTCTTCAAGCTTCACACCAGAGCGGAGTTGGCCGGCGTACGTCTGTGTAATGGTATTCAGTTCATCCAAGAGTTGTGTTTCTTTCTGTTTAATCTTGTTTATAGCTGTCTGACATATTGACCTAATATGTTGTACAGCTGACTCTTTAACTCTAAAAATAGTCTTGAGTTTATTATTTTTCAGCTCTACTTTCTTCGACCTCACTTTCAGTCTCTTCCCCATGTCAAATCTCTTCTCCAGCAGTGCTGCCTCCATCTCTGGCTTCATAGAGTCAATGGTGACGACAGTTTTACAAGCTCTGTGGTAGGTGATATAACATGTCTGACAAGCAGCCTTCTGACAGTCTTTACAGTGGAACTCTACATTGTTACTCTTGTGTTCTGTACACTTAACCCTCCGTTTGACCTTTGACCTAGATGACAGGTCACACAGGTCATGGTCCTGTGACGTAGGACTAACCCGGTGTGTCTTTACACATCTGTCACAGAGGGCCACTTCACACTCAGGACACCACAAGGCACCTGGAGTTGTCTCCCCTATTTGCTGACAGATCATGCAGCAGATGCTTGACGTTTCTGTGAACAGAAAACGAACGTATTGTTTCTAAAACAAACCAATATGGGAACGCTAAGCATGTAAACAGTCTTTATTTGAAGTTCAATAACCTATCCAACTTGATGAACTATTTCAAGTTTCAATTTCTCATGAATAAATACCATATCATAAACACAGGTGATTAAATCAACTTAAATATTACAACTGGTTGTACCTTTATCTTGTTCACTTGGCTCACCTTCCACCAAATAATTCATCAAACTGGATTGACATTATTTCTGATTAATACGTTTTAAGATCTTTTTGTCATAGATTTATCTTTCGATGAACATGATTAACTGATCGATATGAATGTTACTTCTGGTTGAACTTAACCTGGTACATCACCCTCAGTCCCCAGTGTGTCAATCAGCCCCTGTATAATGATGCTGGGTTTGATCTGCCCCGCCCACTCCTCCACTGGCCGGCTTGGACGGGGGACCTTGGTATCTTGTCGACAGAAGGCACATGGTATCGTCTTGGACTGTACAGCATCTGGTCTGGTTTGGATGTACTTGGTGACACATTTTCTGCAGAATGTGTGATCACACCTCAGTGTACACGGGTCTGTGTACAGTTCCTGGCAGATCACACAGGTGAGGAATTCCATCACTTTCTCATTCTGGGATGTTGCCATCTGAAAAACCAGAATTGAAGGTCACATCAATCATTTTTCAAATTTTCAAAATATATTTTTTCTGGTGGAGTTCGTAGGTCTCTGTAATGGGGCAATTTGTATTTTGATTGGCACATCTTGAAAATGTCTTGTTGAAAGCCACTTGGGACTTACCTTCCGCACCAAGCTGAAATAACTGAAATACTGTTCAAAGTGGCACATATCCAAATTCATTCACGTGTTGAGTGCGTCATTAAATATATTGAGACATCTGTTATTGACTGTCGAATGTGCAGTTTGTCTCAATGAAGTTTCTTCACCATCAACATCACATGTCAACTGCATCATAGTGATCTGTAGTATGTCCAGTTTCGACCACTCAAACCATCAGCAGCTACCATCGTAATAGGGTTTATTCTTCATATAAAATCAACTGCATTATTTCATAAAAGTTGAAGAAATCCGTTTACTGTTTGGCACATCACATATAATTCCTTGTTCCAAAAGTGACAGTGAGTATGTCGAGTGTCCACCAGGCAACCCCACAGCTGCTGGTATGACAAACATTGAGTCCAGAGGTCAGGGTACGATCACACATTGTAAGAAACTGTTCAAATTAAGTCGCACTTGTGACAAGCGTTGGTTACTTGAGATATATATTCAGCCACAAGTGGGATAGTCTCTCAGTAAATCAGACTTTAATATTCTTTTCAAATCAACTTGAAGATATAAATATGTGTCTATTATGACCCTTCCATAGTACTATAGGAATACATATATTGATATAACGCCAAATAAGGCTTTTCCGAAACGTGGGTCTAGATCTATATATTTGTTTATCCTTGTATTTGAACTAAACCTTTCTCTCATTATAGTTGAAATCATTATCGTAATGAATTACTGACTCTGCTATAAGAACAAGCTTGTTCTTTCCGCACAATACAGGATTTACCTGCAGAGATGAATTAAAACTGAATATATGAATTATTGTGATAATGTGAGGTCAGGCTTAATTGATGCCAAATTATACTCTCGCAGCTGTGACATTATCGACCTTATTTGAAATGCGCACGTGCACGTGTTTCCTATAAAGGTTTAAAAACTACCAACAGTTAGTATAAATAAATAAATAAATTATGTTAACACCAAGCTTTCCTTTACAGTAAATAGACACACATTACAAGGGAGGTAATTGAACGTTAGTATTCGAGACTAAGTCTGATATCTATCTTTATTGTATCAGTTTTACACATCAACAAGTAACGTTGTTCACCAGAACGTCAGATATACATTAAATATAAAACAATAAAAGCCCAACCTGTCCCTTCCGCATAACGTACAAGGGAGGCAACTGCGAAATCTTGACAGGTAGTCATTCAAAAGCGATCAAAGCTGATGACAACGTAGGTTCCTGGATCGAATCTGGGATGATTCCCATAACAACGTGAGAGATCAGCATATTTCTATATACACACACTGAATACGGTATAAACAGTGTTTTTGTTATATGGTAAGATGTTATACACCTTCGTGTTTGTACAAATATGTGTGAACCTGTATACATGCAATGCCCTTTTTGTCATTACAAGAAGTGATCTTGTACCGATTTCACAATTTAGTTCTATGTTACCCATTACTGCCTTATCCTCTGCGGTTTATTTGGAAATCAACTCGTGACAATATACCAGAGTGTAGCCTATCTTAGAATTCCCCATTATACTGACTTTGTACAGCAACATTGTTTGGAACGTCTATGGCACTGCTATTGAGTGATGTTAACGTTAATTACATTGTCAAACTGCTAAAAAAGACCAACACTGAAAATTCAGATCAAAATACAGTTCAGTGCAAAGTACATGTTTTGTTCTTGCTTGTACACAGTCAGATGTATTCACAAAAAGATGTTCAGTATAATTAAGTGGTAGCGTAGTGGCGGGGCGTCAGGGGTGGCAAACAATGGCGTACCAGATCGAATATTTAAAAGACACGGACGTTGGAGAAGTGAAAATGCCAAGGACGGTTACATAAAAGATCATCTTCAGAGACGATTGTCGTTTCCCTGTCTCTAGGGCTATAGACTTTCTTTGAGTCTTTGCCCGTGTCGACACGACCGGGCCATTGTAAATATTGGTGTTATTTTGTATGTATATATGTCTGGGTATGTGGCATTGCATAGTATGGAGAGGAGAAATGATGTTTCTCTCGGTTGAGTGCATTATGAATAAGAGAGAAACTGCTTTCTCCTTAGCGGTATGCAATGGTTCAGGGAGGTAATTAGCCTGGGTATGTTACGGGTTAAATAAGGGGCGTGGGAAGTAGCCCGTGTGCGAAATACGCATCAGTCGTAAAGCGCACGTTAAATCTCCAAAGTAAGGAAGTAAGTAAGTAGCTCGTCTCTCTCGCTTGTCAGCAGGGCAGTAACACTGAACATAAGTGTCAAGTTCTATTATATCTCAAGACGATCCATCAACAGCGAGAATACTTGATGCCATTTTGAAAAAAATGGACACTAATCAAAGAGATATTGAGATTGCTGTGGAGGGAAAAAAAATTCTCACCTAAGAGAAGAATTTATTCAGCAAGGCAAAGGTTTGAAGAAGTTTAAGACTGAAACAGAATAATCTTGGTCAAGGGAAGGAAATCGAATTCAGTTAATGTTAATTCGGAAGTTTTAGAAGACTTACTTAATACCAGACAAGCCATTCAAAATGGGAATTATGATGATATGTCAAGGTGTGTGGAAGAAGCTATCGGAAAATTAGAGGAAAGAAATAAGCTGATAAAAATTGCAGATTCGTCGGAAGGCGGTTGGGAGGCCGTTAAACATTATGTTTCCAATGATGTAGCAGATGATTCGGATGATGACAAGAAAACTGAGAAAGCGGAATCAAAAGCTGTCAGAAAACTTAAATTGAAACAAAATCGCAAGAACCCTTGTGGATCTCTTGCTTCTCGCAGGTCGATCTCAGCACAGCACGTACAATGTGCTCTACCCGCTTCTACTCCTGTGCATAGCGTTCCTATCATGCAGCCCTTTCGGGTCAAAAGTCCACGACAAGGATCGTGCCATTTGTGCGGCGAGTTCACGCACTCGGGTCCCTACCGCACAGGCGGCACTCGTGAAGAGCAACCTCCTCGTGGTGAGTGCTGGGTAGCGCTAATAGCTCTTCCCCCGTGTGGAACCGGGGTAGAATATTTCCACAGCACCCCATTGCTGGTCGTAAGAGGCGACCAAAGTGGGCAGCCCGTTTGCCGTGGGTTGCGTCCCTGTGTCGGCGGAGGACGGGAGTCTGGTAGTTGAGGGCACTGGTTCCTGGAACTGTGTTCCTTTGCCCAACACACTACTTCGACCCTTACTTCGCCTAGACGGGTGGTAAGATGGGCCCGGTCTTATCAATCGGCTGGTCATGCCAGGCCCTGTGCGTAATATTGTATATGCACTCCTGTGTTGTATTATAATGTATATTTTGGACTTGGCCAAGCATACTTTGTATGAATTACCAATTTTTGATGGAATAAATTGCCTAGAGTCTTACGCCAGAAGGCGGTGGCTCATGGGCCAATCTGGTGATGTTGACCTCTGTATTCTGTATGTCTCCAGTTTCTTGTCATGGACTGAACCTGCCTGGCACTACATCTGGTAGATAAATATAGCTATTCAAGTCATATTTGCTGGAGTATAGCATCCCTGTATCCCTGGTGTTTGCATCCTGGATATCCGGTGCAATATAACACTGTCCTTGTTGACACTCGATGGCGGGTGGGGAACAGGGGTGCTGAATTATATTCTTTCATCATGGCTCAACAACAATCTGGTTCTTTTCGCAATGAAAAAAAGAGACGATTAGAAGACATTGATATTTCGTCTGGAAGTATTTCTCAAAATATTGATACCTGGGCTAGATTCCTGGTTATTGAGGCTGCTGATAACCTGCCTATCAAATTAAATCCTTTTGCCATTTCTAAGGCTGTGTCAGGGATTTGTGGTGAAGTCAAGAACGTCACCCGTCTCCGTAGTGGTTCGCTTCTGGTGGAGTGTGCACGGAGACAGCAATCTCTCAATCTGTTGTCTATTTCTACATTTGCCAATATTGAGGTTGCTGTGTCTGTGCACAGAACCTTAAATTCTTGTCGAGGCATTGTTCGTGACAGGGCTCGTTGTCTGTCCGACATGTCTGAGGATGAAATTGCTACTGAATTTGAAGACCAAGCTGTAACAGCTGTAAAACGTTTCACGTTTAAGAAAGACGGTGTCATCACGAACACCAATACCTATCTCATGACGTTTGCCCAAACTTCCCTTCCACAGTCAATAAAAGCAGGTTATATGAACATTGGAGTGGATGTGTATGTCCCCAATCCGCTCCGATGCTACAAGTGCCAACATTTCGGTCATGGTTCAAAATCCTGTCATAACTCTGTGGTTTGTCATCGTTGTGGTGACAGCCATGAGAGCGTTGACTGTAATCATGATCTGAAGTGTGCAAATTGTTCAGGCCCACATGTTGCTTCATCCAAATCTTGCCCTGTGTGGCAAATGGAATCCAAAATAATGAAAATCAAATGTGAAAAAAACATATCCTATCTGGATGCCAAAAAACTATTCAAAATTCAGACCACTACCCCCTCAACTATGTCCTACTCCGCTGCAGTCTCCCGCTCTGTTACAACATCTACTATTTCGTGTCAGACTGACTTGACATGGGTCACGTCAGATCAACCAGTTGATACTATTCCAATCACTCAGCCTATTCCTACCATCAGTCTATCAAGTTCAGGATCTCAGACTGAGATTCAGTCTGAGAAACCATCACATACGTCAGTCAAACAACCAGTCGTTGTTCATTTGTCGACTAAAGAAAAAAAGAAATTGAAGAAAAAACAACTGCCAATCGTCCCTTCACCTTCAGAGGTTCCTTTACAGAACTCCTTTGGGCCTCTGGACATGGAGGTTACTCTGTCCTCACAGGACAGGCGGGGGAGTAGTTCCTCCTCCCATTCACGCGAGCGATCTCCAATTGAGCCACCATGACTCAGTTGTCTAATATAATGCAATGGAATTGCAGAGGACTTAGGCATAATTTTCATGAACTGCAGTTATTAACAAGTGATTTAAATACATCAGCAATTTGTTTACAAGAGACGTGCCTTAAAAATACAGATAAGTTCGATTTAAAGCAATATAGTTCATATCATTCCTTCTCTCCTCCAGGAGATAAAGC